CACCGTTCGTCATTGATCGAAAAGAGACGCAGAAACAGTGAAAAGGTTTTTGAAAACTGCAGAGAGAAAAAAATAAGTAGAAGGTGAATATCTTGTGAAATCAGATGAAAGTCTTGTGATGCCCACATTCACATTATATACAGAGAAAACTATGAATTAGATATTATTATAACAAAGGTCAAGAATTTTGATCAAAAACATGACTTTTTCTGTTTTGTTTTCAGCCTTACACTTCAAAGGTATTACGAAAGAACCATAGAGGTTATTAAATTCAAATACTTTACCTCTAACCTACACATGGGCATACCAAAATTCGTATAGTTTTCATTAAACTATTTGTTTCCTAAGTAAACTAGATAGATAAAAAAAATCGAGCCGACCTAGAACTTGGACGTGTGTACAAAACTGAAAATTATATTCTATGAACTATTCTTATCCATCAATTTTATTAGTTCGTTAAACATTCCTATCCACCATCCATTTTAAAGCAATGGTGTTTAGGCCTCCTCACAGTCACAGATATATCTTTCTCACATTTAACTCAAGTGAGACATTATAAAAAGGAATCAAAAATATAACTAAAACCCAAAAAAAAAGAGAATCAAAATATAATAGGGATATAGAGACAAAAAAATACCATTGCTATAAAAGATATTTAAAGTGGGTACAAATATCTACGATATATTAGTGGATTCCATATTTGGATAAATGTTTTATGAGAAAATTATTCAAAAATTCAGCACTCACAAGAATTTTCCGAAACTGTTCAAATAATTTTAAAGGAAAATAGTAGACGTGATACTCTTTTTTTGGAAAACAGCTGGAAAATTCTCTTTGGTGAAAATTCCTCTTAAAAAATAAAAAAAAAAGAAAGCGAGAAAATAGAATACAAGTAGGACTGATTCTCCAGAATATAAAGTCGTTTGGTGTTTCTCTTCTAGCCAGAGATTTTTCAGGCAAGAATTTTCTAATGAAAATATATTAACGATAGTCTAACAGAAAAACTGCAAAGCTTTTGAGAAAAAAATTCGATAGAGAAGAAGAAGAGAACCTGGAGTAAAGTAAAGAGAAGTGGTTTCAGTTGGCTGTGGAGTTTTCGTTCAGTAGATTTTAGATTTATATAGAGAGACGAATTCTTAAAGCTTGATGCAGTTTTTGGTAAGTCGAAAAGTAAATAAATGAATCATTTACTTCCTCTGTTTCCTTTAACGTTTATTTTCTTGGGCTCCAAACAGAAATCGAGATAAATGGATTTTCAAAGTTCAAGAGAAAGGGCAATTTAGAGAAAAGGAAAGTTCTGGATGTGTGTACATTTTCCTTAAATAATTAATTTAATGGATATATGGACAATCCACCGATATAAGTTTCCTTAAATAGTTAAATCTGATCCGATCTTTGGATTAAGTAGATACTACATTGGATTGAAATTATATATCTCTATACACTTGGTCGGCAAGACAAAATTATTAACACAAAAATCATATTTATCACCAAAATAACTTTTACCAACCATAAAAAACGGTCTTCTATATTGCTGATTTAGTCCACTAAATATGAAAATACATTTATTAAAAATATTAATATGTTGATTTAAATTATGAATAAATGGGGAAAAAAATAAGAAAAAAATTAATAGTGATGATTATGCAATCAAACAAAACTTTAAACTTATATCCATTCCACTTTAATTTAATTTACAATTGAATCAAATTATTATTCCAACCCCAAAATAAAATAAAATTTCTTATTTTTTTTGTAAATGATCTGTATTCTTTTTGTTTTGTTATTGCTAAAAAATAATTTAAGAAACTTTTGAATGGTTTGAGGAATATGCTGTAAGCATATCTCCCTCTTTCATTTTCTATAACTTTTCCTATCAACATTTCCATAGGCAAACTAAAAAGGTGAAGTAACAAAGTAATAAAAACTCATCATCTAATTTATGACACAAAGTAATAAAGTTGAAGTTTGGACACAGAAACAAAGACATCGTCACTCTGCAATACAAATAAATTTTAATCAGATTTCAGAACTCAGAAGGCGTAGGTGCGCCTCGAAATATTTTGTAGGTTCTTACATTACCAAGCTGGACTGATAGGTCCACGAACTTTGTTCCAATCTTAACAAAGGCCATTAAATTACTTTTTGTTTTGTTTTATTAACAAAGGCCAATAAAACGCTATAGATACATAACTTCATTGCTTTTGACAATTCACATTTCACATAACGTTATAGATGTTTTACTATTCACAATTTAATCAAATGTTTACGCTATCATAGGTTTTGAAAAATGACTCATGTATATGCTTATACATTTCTTTAAAATATAACTGCCAAACTATTAGTAGACAGTAGTATTGCTTATGATGTTTCATCAATTAGCTATTATAATAGTATACGATTCATTTGACATAACAGTCTATCTCCTCAATAATTTTCATTATCATTCATTACCACCAATATTTTACTATTCAGTTGTAGTTGTCAGTTTCATAAGTATGGTTTCAGAATGGTGCGATAACAAGTTCAAATGGTTTTCAATGAAAAACCGTTAATGGTTTGTCATCCAATTGCTAAGCTATCATTGGTTAAAATATAAAAGTATATAAAGTATTTGGTGGTGGCGGAACCATTTAAGATAAATAAATTTGTTTTCTCCATGCATCTATCACCACGTGTCGGGTTGTTAAGAAGAGTACCACGCGGAGTGACGGTATTAGTGAAGCTAGGAGCTTCACCAACAAAACAGGAGGGACTTGTTTATCTCTACACTTGTTAGATAAGGCCAACGTTGAGTATGACGTTGCCTTCTACCGACTTTCGATGATAAAAAAAGTACAAATCTGTGTCATAATTTGTATTAGGGTTGGAGTAATTAAAATTGATTAATTCAATATCGTACGTACTAAGTAATATTTGGTCCACTAACACAGCAGTCCACTGTTATTTACTTCCGTGTGGGTGGTTTTTGACTTTTGAGGTAAGCGGTATTTGTTCTGGTCTTTTTTTTGTATGTTTTGTTATTGTAGTTAAATATGGTTGCTAAGTCAAATGATTATCCATAATATTTGTCGAAGTCTCATAAAACTTTTTAAATATGTTCAATGCACAGTGCACACCAACATGTTTTTCATTTATCTTTTGTCACACTTACCCTCCGATCAAGCATTTACACTCGTATGACCATAGAAAAGGAAATTGCGATAAGGTTTGGTGGTGGCGTGGTGGTGTATGAACTCGTAATAGTATGAATTCCACCGAAGTCCAAAACGGCAAATAAGACTTTAAACTTTGAGATAAGGACTAGATTTTGCAAGTTTCGAATATATAGTTGGATTCCCATTAATATAAACTTGTGCTAATTCAGATAAATCTTTGTCAACTCAAGGTAAGACTATCTGTAATTAACAATCCTTGTAAAACTATATATGCTTGCCACTAGATCATAATTACATCTCCACTTGCCTAATTAGCAATTAGCAATAGAGCTTCCACTTAAACCGAAAATTAAAGGAACAATCATTATGTTTTAACTTTTAAGGATAGAAGTGACAAATAAAGTTTTGTTGTGTCATTGTGTGTGGGCCTGTGCAAATGCATAAGTTGATAATAGAGATTCCTTCTTTTCTTTTTCCTTATTATAAAACAAAAGCCGAAGGTCTAAAGTAAACAATGGAAAAACTAGAAAACGCAAGACTGGTCTCTCCACTCCAAGTAAATAACAAAGCATAAAGGGAAACAGCAGATTACACTACGATAGCTGCACGTTTGCGACTGACAAAAGTCAAAAGTGCCGCAACTACAGTACTAATCTTTACATGATTCACTGAACATTTACGATGCAACTACTCTTTAGTTTGTTGTTAAAACATGAATAGATAGATAAACGTTCTCTAAAATATGAAGTACCTTTTCGTTTTTAGGTAGTTGCCAAACATTACATTAACATAAAATATGAATAGGAAAGCTTTTTCTTCCTAAAATATGAAGTTACTGTTACTTCTTTTTTTAGGTAGTTGTCAAACATAACATGATTTCCATTAGGTTTGCCTAATTTTTGGAATTGAATTTCCATTTTCGATAATTGATACAGGTTGAAGCAACAAGAAATAATACGAGTTTTTGCTATATTCACTCATCCATCATTTTCTTTAACAAACCACGGTTTTATGGATACCTATCTATCACACGGCCGCCTTGTCTTGAAAAGTGATTGGGTTTGTATTTTTTCTGTTCATCAAAAGACATAAATATGCAAAATATAACACCTAGGCAAATTTTTATTTCGTCAGAGACCCACATGTAAAATTTTATGTGTTTTTGTGATATGATTGTTTTTCCAGGTTTTTATAGAACCTATGAGAATCTTCATATCACATTTTCTTTGTATACGTTCCATAAATGATAGTTCGAAAAAATTTCATCGGATTAAGACTTTAGAATTACATGAAATGATAGAGCAAGCTTTTAACAATACGAAGATTAGATATAATCTCAAACCAAAAGAAAGTTAGCGTTTCGCTCTCTATCCAAACTAAAAGAACTCAAACACGTAACTGCACTTGCGTTTGTGAAGCAACTACAGTCTACAGGCGATAAAGAATGGACTATTTTTACCAAACGGAAAAGAAGTTAAAAGATGGATTAATAACCAAACAGATATTTACAACAGACTTCAAACCAAAATAAGAAAGAAAAAAAAAGAGCCTAACAAAAGTCTCAGATTATCACAAGTTTATCTCGACAAAGATGAAAATTTTTCCCTACTCTCTGCAAGACTGCAAACTCAAACTTCTCAGCTATTTTATTATTTGCTCCTTAATACCTCTTTTTGACCGTTTGGTCATTCACCGTGAAGTTTCAAATACGTGTGGTACAGTGAATCTCTCTACCACTCCCTTCTCCATGTTTGCACCGTAATATACCCAAATGTCCATAAGACCATAAGCATGGTGAAGGCAAAAGATGTATTTGTTTGGAAATGGAAAGTTGAACGAGTTTCAATGGCAGATTGCTTCTCCATATGCTACCCATTGTTTGAAGCTATCTGGAAAGTCATCACGAATCTTTGTGTGTACTGACATTTCGGTTCCCATCGGTTCCTTTCCCTGCCAAAGGAAATTAAATCCCGTTAAGTTTCAAGTGAAGTAAGCAAATGAATATGCCAAGTAGAATCTGGAAGATACTAACCTTCCTGCTGCTTGATCCACCCTCGCTTTTAGCTGGCCTCGGCTGTTTTGCTTCGCTGATGATATTCTCTGATGATGACGTTTCTGCGGTTGAATATCTTGTAAGCGCTGACGACCTGCCAAAAGAATACAAATGTGAATCGACGAAACCATGGTTAAAAATCGTAAATCGATATGTACAGTAGTTTTACCTGTATTGATCGTTCTCGCATAGATTTTCAGATGAAGAGAGCCACTCCACATCAACAAAATTTGAGACACTAGACATGTCTTCCTGCTCGGACAAGTAATTGGAGCTACTACCATTATGTTGAACCTTCTGCGCATCTCCAAAATAATGTGTGCTAGGCATTGACGGAGTACACCTACAAAAAGTGTTCAAGCTGAATGTTAAGACCAACAAGAAAGACAAGGGTTCTATGTGCTATAATTGACCTTTCTGCACCCAGCAAAATTATAATTCATACATAGAGTGTACAGTCAAATTAAAGGAACTAGCAATACATGTTTTATTTAGCTATAAACAGAAGCAAAATGTAAGAAAGATTTTAAACAAACCTCGATAATCCTACATCACTAGCAGTTGGCATATCTGGTGATGATTCTGAAATTATGTGAGTCGCTTGGTTTGATGACACGAACCCTTTATGTGATATGCTTTCACGCTGCTTGCTACTCACTGCGGACATCGTTGTGCGACCTTCATTGATAATATTCCCATCTGATAAACACCTCTTCACAAGGAACCTGGAAACAGAGTATTAAGAGCTATGATCAGAGATGTAATGAAACACAAGTCAATTTTGCTCACTTTTAGAGGAAGGCTAGTAGGATGGAAACTTCATATGCTAAGAAACAGAGAAAATTCATAAACAAATAGAGAGTACAGATGAAGGTAAAGTTTGATGCAGTTAACAAACCAATCCTAGTTTCCCATGACTCCACAAGTCTAATACGACAAAAGCTCATACCTCCTTTTGTCCAGATCATATGGTCACTCTGTATGATTAGGGTCACAACAGTTTCATAGGATGGAAATTATGGTGAAGAATGACATTCCATAACAGGGATAATGTTGACAGATGTAGAGCCTATTTGGTTTAAAGTTCGTATACAAAACACATTGCATATAAGTCTAGATATTATAATTCGTATCTCCTACAATCGTCAAAGTATGTCTAAAGAAGAAAATGGAATCCTCAAAACCTCAGAGAAGGATGGAAACCAATTTCTACATATATATACCTAGCAACAAATTAAATTCTGAGTTTTGGTGAATCTCTGAAATCCAAGTTTACAGGCAAAGAAAACTACCTTTCATCTTCCCCCATGCTTATCTCTCCATTTTGTCCGTTAGACTGGGAATCTGAACGCAACTCCCAAACTGCCTGCCTCCCTTGCTCAGGTTGGAAATTACCAAGAAATCTACATATAAGTCACAGAGCCCGAAATTTTTCTGTAAGACTCTTGGAAATCATGGCGTAACATGGATATATATGAGAGGGAGTGACAGATAGCAGCTTACATATTAATGGCATCTTGTTTATCGGCATCCATATATGCGTTATTATAATAACGTTGCAGAGTCCTCAAGAACTCTTGTGACTGGGTTGCTGCTTTCCATTGGCCTCTCCTCTCACTGAAAACCTATTGCACACCAGAAACTCCAGGAATCAACAAAGCATAAAGTCCGCAAGATGAACATTTGTCCATTTTCCTAACTGATACTAACTAGAATATTCTTTGTACATAATAAACAGAGCAGCATTTTTAGTATCAACTAACTGTCTCTAGCAGAATACTTATATAAGACTGTTTTATGAACATAAACAAAGTTACTCCGATGCTCTGTCAGAACAGACGGAAAAAAAACAGAAAAAAAAAGAACTACCTTGTTGTGTGCTGCAGATCCACCATACTGGTAAGCTAGTGTATCTCCCATTCTCTCATATAACCCCATTAATGAACTAGACAAAGGATCATCAAGTTCTATTGTTGGAGCATCTCTAATTCCCAGAGCATGAAGCTGCTGCCCTAGAGCAGCCCAACCATACGCATATTGGGCAACATTTGTACGATCAAGGCAATCTATGCAATTGGTCCTCAGTACGCCCCTCTGGAGCGTGCCAGGCTTGATATTACAATCGCCATTAGCAACATTCTTACTCGGGAGAGAATTCTTCTTTAGGGAATCAGATTCCCCACTATCATCATCAGAACTATTATGTGGGGAAATGTCGGCACTGCAATTTTAAGACATCAGTACTGTAACTGTAAGAGTTTATTATATAGCTGCAGTAAAAATCTTAAAAAATAACATCACTTTCCTATAGTTAAATCCTATCATCCATTTCCAAAGAGTAACACAAATTACGGATATTTTTAATGACAATTAACCAGGATTTCTAAACTAGAAGAATGATTCCATGAACTTGACAAGGTTTATCTAAAAAACTGACCACAAATTCTAAATCGGGAAAGAATTTCTATGATGAACATGTAAATTACAGGAACTCAAGCAAAAAGGCTTACTCAGAAAAAGACAAGCTCATATAACCCTCAAGCTTCATTGCTGGAGTAACTTGATAATAAAAGAACCCTGTTAGCATCAACGCACATGTAGCGACTTTGCCAAGAAGTGCCAATACATTTGCTGTTTTGCTGAAATAAAGAAAGAAAAAAGAAAACTAGTTTAATCTAAAAAATGTACTTATAGATAAAATTTATTATTTGAAACAGCTGGAAAGCCAATCTAAATGGATACCTCTGAAAATGTTTGTGCAAGTCCCAGTGGAGGAATCTTAGACGATATTCTTCAGGCAGATCCTTGTTTATAAAGTCAATTGCATTAGCAAACTCTGCCCGGAGAATAGACTCCCTAGGCCTCCTCTCTTTTGTCTATTGATTGTCAAAAGCAACATGTCACATCAGTGACAGGTTTGAGGTGTATGAGCATCAAATTCATAATGCACAGACAATATTTCCTTTCATTGCTAGTTTAACTAGATTAAGGTGCAAGAAGACGCATCACTTGCCAATACAAAGAGTACCCACTACCCAGGGAAGTGAAGTGCTTAAGGTGTGGAAGATGATAAGAACATGGAAACAAGCTCGATTAGGCAACTCACCTTGATCAAGTTCAGAATAATGATGGGGATTCCATATCGCTCTACAAGGTTTTCAAAGTGAAGTCTAGTTGCCTCATAGTTCAGGTCCCTTTTTGACACTGGATTTGACATTGAGGTATCAAACACAAAGGAAAAAGAAAAGAGGACCAGGCAGAATATTTTGTAATAATAACACTTACATACTATATCCGGCTTAATATTCATCCGTGAGGTTTCCTGCGACCAGAATAGAGGGATTGAGCCACGATTCTGAACAACAGAGCTTATTTGCATGGGATGGTCTTCAGGAACGTCCTCAGACAATATTTGCTCTGTTTCAACATCATTAGCCACATTGCCACTTTCGTTTATTCCTCGTTTCAAGTACCTAAAAATCAAAAGGGGTTTAGGAGAGAAGCAGGATAATAACTAACTCTAGTAAAGATGTATAATTTGTTGGGAAAAAAATCTGGAAATGGACAAATATTGCACAATGCTTGCGCATGTATTCTTATGCGATTAACAGTGTGGGCAGCTTTATTTGCAATCATTTCATGTCACTGCTACAGAGCGAGTTATTATAGTCATGTTTACCACGGAAGAGGAAATTAGAGAGTGATGAAATCTAGTACCTGGTTCCAGCATTATGGCGGGAACGCCTAGCAATAAGAGTGAGTTTGAAATTCCGTCCAGCTTCACAAAGAGTTGTCTACATCCACAATAAAACAAGGTTCAGCACCCATGAATCTAAACAGTACTGTGAGACTATCAACGTATTTGAGAACAAAGACGACAGTGTATCTGAAATAGCACGACCAAGAATATCGAAACTAATACATAACTATTAAAAATTTGCACGTGAAACGAAAAACTTCCTTTTTCCCGACGTTTTGGTGCAAGACAAAACATGACTTGGGGACGCAAAATACTGACCCCAAAGAAAATGGTAGGCAAATAAAAAGGACTACTGTAGCGAGAAACGAAAAAGAATGCATTTGATTCAGGCAAACTTTCTTTTCTCTAGCAGCGAGGCGCAGAAATTATTACCTGCTTAAAGAAACCATACACCAATGCTACAGTCCACACAGTATTCCGAAGATGATGCCGAATTCCCCGAGTCAAAAATTCGTTCCACACAAACATTTTCTTATAGAGAGCACCTCCACTCTCATGATCGCATATATTCTTCTGGAAACTCCGCATTATATTGTAAGAATAGCTGAAAAAGAAGTCTTTTGTAAGATCCACCACACACAGGAGCCTCTTGTACCTGTTTATCAACAAGTGAGAAACACCAGATAGAGAACGCAAGGGTTAAATGGCTTCAATTCACCAAACAGAACTTTTCTTCATCAATGGGCTTGGAAAAAATAAAGGCATAATCTAGCAACTTCTTTATATCAAAATACCTATTCTCGTCTCTTGAATTTGCAATGTTGCAAAGCACACTAGAACTTTGCAATGAAATGATCTCACTCTTTGCCACTTCATAGACCCGGTGACCACAGATTTCACCTATCTCTCTTCTTTCAGTTATAAGCAACATGTAGTAGGGTCCCAGAAACTTAATGAACCCTGAGACCACAAAAAAGATGAGAACAAGCTATAAAGGTAAAACCATCTACTCTCCTGCAACATTAAATAGGGACAAATAAAGCACATACCGATGATGCCATAACAAACAGTGACAAGTTTGAGTCCGCCTGTCGCTTTGTTGCCTTCGTGTATCCGTTTCAGCAACTCGTAGCATTCTTTTTTAGTATACGAAGTCGAATCCTCACTGACATTAAGCTCAGACGCATCAAGCCGGTCTATCTTTAGTACTCTATACACTCCACTACCATTCCAACCAATCATGTAGAAATTCTGGAAAAATAAAAAGTATCAATCTTAGTGACAGTCAATGAACGAACACGAAAACAGATCTAACGCAAATGATTGTATCATAGCAATCAAATGGCAGTGAGGATACTCGAGGCGGAAGTTGTGTTTACCGATTGAGTCTCGAAGAGTTTGTATTCTTGCATACAGCCATGAAGGGCAGATGATCCGGAGGGCGCCGAGCTTCCATTTTCCATTGATGGAGATGAGGTCACAAGCTGCTGATTCCCAATTACTCGTTGATTTTGACTAACACAGATCTACGCCCAAGCCGCTGGCTCAGTGAATCTCTCTCCGGAGCATTCACCGATCCCCAAAATCCAGAGTACGAAGTTCTCTCTCTGGAATAGATGCCGAATTCACACGCAATCGAATCAAAGATACTCTAGAACCTGACCACGTTTCCGCAGCCAACAACAGGAGGAGAAGCAACAAAAAAGAGCGGAAGCTCGTTGGTAATCAAGCACGATAAGAATCTCTTTCCCCGAGGAGTCGCAAATAATCGAGCAGCTTGAGAAAAAAATCTCCAGAATCGACTGATTCTTCTGCTGCTGCTCTCGAATCGAACAAATGGGAGCAATAGAAATGGGGAAAAGAAGGTAGGCAACTAAACAGACCCGATCACGGAGATCACCACTCGAAAGCTCAAACAAACGAAGAAGGAAGCTCAGATTCGGTGAAGAATCAAAAGAAGGAAGACGGAATAAGAGAAGATGAGATGAGAAATTGGTAATTTGAAATAAGAGAAGCTTATATATGGGGGAAGAAGATGGAAGGAGGTAGAGAGAGAGAGGGAGAAATGAGAAGAAGATGATGATGAATGATGATATGTTTCAGCTGTTTTCTTTGTTTCTGTCGAGAGTTGGAGAAGATTGGATCGGAAAAGAAAGAGACGACGAAAACCACAATTTTCTCTATTTTAATTTTAATTTAAATATCTTCTCTATACGGATTTGCAAAAAAATAAAGAAAAGAAAAAACAAATAATACCCGTGACAATGCGATACCTACAGCTGTCTAGACTTCTATAGCTGCACTTTCGAAGGAGTTAATTACTCTTTCTCTTTTTAAAATATTCATTCACATCCTTGTTTTTAGTTTTTAACTTAAATCATATTGAATCATGATTGAGTCGTTTTAGCAAAATTTTGATTCATTCTTTAAGGTAAACAAAACAGTTTTGAACTTAAATCAATTGTATAATGATTGAGTCATTTTAGCAAAATTTTGTTTCATTCTTTAAGGTAAACAAAACATGTTTTGAGAATCAGAGATGGTGAGGTAAGCGTTGACTATAAAAGATTGCTATCTTTTTATGGTTTTATTTTTTTGAGATAAGGTGTTTACTTCATGCATGGTTTGTTTTATATATAAGATTTATTATCTAAAAGAACCTCAACAACAATGACAGTAAGAACAGAATAAACGCCGTGGAACCAGGTTTATTATTGCACGGAACAAACGAAATAAGTGTAGTTTATATAGGCGGTGATATATCATTTGTTTGCTGTCACATTTTATTTGGTCTAGCACTCTAATATTAACTTTTAGTATAACTTTTTCTTAGGATATTTGGAACTAAAAAAGATTATATGAAAAAATGTCTACTTATAATTGGGCTTCCACTATCTTTTTCTGTGAATAGTGATAAAGTACAGCTCTGCACTTTTTCTGCGGACCATTCACAACCTAAAGGTTAAAGGAAGTAGCCAAAAAGGTATGTAATGTGCAGTCAAAACTGTATATTAATATTGCTTTACACACACGAGCCTGTGTGCAGAAAAAGGTAGCAACTTCCATTACTGGTAAGTGGGAACAAACCTAATTACAAAAGCTATTTTGTTCCCTCATCACTACTTGTATGCTTACACAAACTCTTCTTGATCAACAGTGACCAGAAGAGAAACAAAAGGAACTTTTTGTTGTGACATTACAAGAAAGGGATTGCAAAAAACACAAGAGGGCAGAGAACAAGAAGCAAGGCAATGTGTTTGCCAAAAACCAATCAATCCTTGCAATCTGTTACACCTTCTGTAGATATTTGGAATCGAGCTTCCGCTTCAGGCAGACATGGCGAGCTTATCACTTTGCAGATTCTCTCCTCTGCTCTTCCTTTCCTCAAAGCCAACCTGTTTATCACACAACATCATAAACAAACACACTCTGCCAAACCCTTAAGAAAAAAGGGATTCAAATTTGCAAACGTTACAGACCTTGTTGTGGTGGCATGAGCCATGATATTCCCACCAATCGGCTTAAATTGTGGACCGGCAAAAAGAGCAGAGCCGTCTACTTGCGCAACTACTTGGTTTGTTATGACAACAGCTACTCCAAACTAGATCCATTAAAACATGTGAGAGAAAAGCTTCAGGATGGTGTCTTTGAGCAATATTGGAAAGGAAACACTTTAGTACTAGTGAATGTTTACCTCATCAGCTAACTTCTGAAGACTTCTCAAGAACTTTGCAAGATGCATCTGTCGAGCCGAAAGCTCTCCCCTTCCAGAGAAATCTGTCCTGTAGAGAGCGGTAGCACTATCGACAATCATGAGAGCAAATCTGTGACATCATAACTTTCACAGTTAGCACTCTCGTGATGGACTAATGGAGCTGAACACCAAAAGAAGACTTTATAAACCTTGTTTCAATCATCATTGATGCTGCTTCAAGCAAAAGCCTTGACTGATGATCAGTATTATACGCTCTAGCATAGGCAACATTTTCCAGTACATCAGCTCCATTTAGTCCAAACCTGCAGCGTTTTAATTGATTTCTTATTGATAAATCTGTCTCAAGAAATCTCATCTCGATCTCACATGTGTTACATAGATAACATACCTGTCAGCTATCTGTAAGAGTCTTTGTGGCCTGAATGTTCCCTCGGCATCAATGTACATCGCCTTTCCCTCTCCACCTCCTTGATCCATGGGAAGCTAATCAATCAAACATGAACCTTAACGTCAATATCTTTCTCGTATTATCGATTCCTACTAGATAAGCAATAACAGCTGAGTGGTAGATTCAGAAAACGGAATCTTACTTGACATGTTACACACAGTGTATGGCACAACTGAGTCTTCCCAGAGCGGAACTCTCCATATAACTCAGTAATGGATCCAGTTTCAATCCCTCCTGTTGAGATTACAGGCAAAGTAAGATCACAATATCAAAACGCCATTTTAAGATGCACCAACAATCAGAACCAACCTTCAAGAACTTTGTCAAGCTCCCTTGATCCAGAGGTAATCTGAATGATCTCCTGTCTCTGGGCATGCAGCTGGCTAGCACTAGTGAAACCCAGAGGAACCAGCTTTGAAGCTGTCACAGAGGGAACACACAAGTAAGAAAATGCATAAACTCTAAAAGGATCAAAGAGGTGTTAATGTACTTAACAGAGATGGAAGGGATGTAAATTATTCTCATGCGACATACCTGCTTCTACAATTTTGTCAACTTTGGCATCACTAATTCCTTTAATCTGCAAGAGATCCTTCCTAGGAGTATAAGCAACGCCTTCAACAGTGCAGAGACCAGCATCCCTAAGCTTCTTTACATCAACAGAAGCTATACCTGCCGCCTGAAGTGTGAAGGATTAGAGAGATGAAAGAGCGTATTACCAGAAGACTCTAAACCAAAATAACAAATTTTATTTTGACTCATCTCTCTTAATATATACAGATTATAAGAACTGAGAAGACCCATTAGAGTTAGAGCAAGAGAGAAATTCCACAGTATTGAACAAATTGACAATGTATTCGCGAAAGGGTGAAAACCCCTTAAAAGTGTTAAATTTATCTGAATTAAACAAAACCCTAAGATTGTTTCACTCTACAGGCCGCAGCGAAACCCAATTCTCGTTCCGATTCACTCCTATTTCACATCGCGAGAACGAACAAAGGGTAGAAAAAAAGCAGAAAGCTTTAGTGAAATTAAGCCGAGCCCAGTTCGATTAGCGCAAGATCCGGAAGCTTATCCACCGCGAAGGTAGATTTCTACTAGAAATGAAAGAAAAAATCGGGGGAAATGGTACCTGAAGCTGTTCGACGGGAAAAGGGCCGTGCTGGATCTCTTCTTCGTCCTGTTGTTGAACAGCATTCTGGTTTCTCCGCTGCTCCATTGTCGTCATCGCTCTCTATCAGATCAGATTCGTCGCACCAGAGAAAGTGAGAGAGACCAAATGAGACTTTTGCGAGTGGAGGGAAATGGCGAAACTCTGAAAAATAATTGAAAGAAGCGCCACAGACTTATACAAGAAGATGCGGCAAAGGCTTCTCCAACAAGTCTCAATTGCGTTGGGTCAGCTTTCCTTTTTGGGCCTTTCTCGAATCAGCTCTTTAAGCCCAAACTAACTCGAACCGTTACTAATCAATTACTGTATGTATTTTTCTTTCTTTTGGAAAAATGTAAAAAAAAAAAATTTTTGGTCAACCATTTCATCAAACATTTACTGATCAGCCTATCAAAACAAACTGATCTAGTAACTCTTCGTGGTTCGATTTCCCAAAAACTGCGATATGGAGTAAGTTAAGAAGTTTTAGCGTGGTGCAAGTCGAGAGTCTGTCATCGTGGATTCTAGTAGAGCAGTGAGATTTGTTGTAGATTAATCTTTGTACTTACATTCAAAATTTTGTAATCAAAAATATTGTAAAGACAAAACAAAAAATGGTAATTAATTATCTATTTTCATACTTGTCATATTGTTTTAATTTTTTTTTTGCTTTCAGTTTCCATATTTGTTTGATGTATGAGAGATTCATATTTTTGTAGCTAGATATCTTAGGTAAATATATTTATATATAAGTTTTTATATGATAATTATTAATTTCTGATATTATTGGGACCATATTTTACATAGGAGTTTAAAAAAAGTTATTATCTTATTATCTTATCGAATTGTGTCATATTTTACACCGGCCCAACTTGGGACCGGAGAAATTTATTAATTTATCGTGGTTATTAATTTATCGAGTATTAATTTATAGAGTTTCTACTGTATACTATTTATGTAGGTTTATAGATGAAGATTCGGATAAGGAAGACAAGAGTAGATAAGGAAAATTTTAAAAATCGGTGCAAGATATCTATTAATTGTAGGTTTACATAAAGATGGATTTTGATAGAATGGTTAATTATCCATTAATAATTGTATTTATGATTATCTTCTTAGACGTTAAAAAAAAACAGTGAAATAAAAGATCGGTTAACAACCAGATTGATGATCCATTTGTTTGCAGTAAATTGCTCCACCACTAGACTACGGAGTACATGTTGATCTTGTATGGAGTACTCTACTAATCGCACATGGTCTAATCAATTATCTAGTGGTGGTCATTTAAAAAGAACAAAAAGAATAAACCTTACTTTCACTAAAAGTTGTCAACTAACCCTGTGAAATGAAAGATTAGTGAACAACTCGAATTAACTTTAAATACCAGAGGAACCATATCAACTTGATTTACATTCGATGCTAATCTTCTAAAACGTATCTTAATCTTATACATATAAAAAAAAAATCACATCACGTCTTCTCCTCTTAAATCCCCGAAGCGAAACTTATGCCCGTAGAAGGCAACCAAGAAACTCCATCAATGAATTTACCAACGCTAAAATAACTCGCCTCTTCAAACCCAATCAAATGAAACCCTTGCCACGTCACTCTCTTGGAAACCCTAGCTTTGGGACCATAGTTCTTGAACTCTCCGAAGTACAACGTCTTCAACACTTCGTCTCCGGAGTTTAACCACCCGGCCCATCCTTCCTCCGCGATCGCATCGTCAATATACGTTTCCATCACTATAGACCTCGAAAACTTCTTCCACGGCCGTCCCAAGTATGAACTATACCCATGTTTCACGCCCGAAAAATCCATATCCGTACGGATCTTGCAACTATGAAGTGCAAATCCGGTATTTTGATGTTGGTCCGTCCTCCCGTTAGCTAGAATCACGTTATAGGCTTTGACACCATAAGGGCGACGCAAGAATAGGCTGCAGCTCTGGAAAACCGCGGCCGCGTTTCCGAAAATGAAATCAATGGTTCCATAAATATCGCATTCTCTATAGAACTGACGCAATGCAGCTGCGTAGAGTGTGTCTTGATAACCGGAGATGCTACATCTATATAACACTGCTTGGTCCGATGTGATGCTTAATGCTATGGCTTGTTGGCCTCTAGGCCCTGCCGTGTTCTTGATTCCGATGTCCCGTCCAATAAATCCGTCACCCGTAACCGCTGCAAAAATTACATTTTGTCACTTATATAAGTATATAACCAACTTTTGTTATAAATAAGTATACATAAATGTAAATGAATGAATGAATGAATGAATGTATGTACTAACTCATTGTAGCGGTGTCCGGCACCGAAGTTCCTCCGGCGGCACTATCATCACCGACAATGACCGTCAGGTCTTTGCCTTCTCCGATCAACGTGATCTCATCTTTCTCGATTCTTACTTTCTCATTGTAGATCCCTCTTTTCACGTAAATTACGAACCTGCCATTCCCGTGGGCAGAGGTGACAGCCTCCATCACGGTTCGGTAATCACCGGATCCGTCTTTGGCGACTACCACGTGTGGTCTCCCTACTAGAAGTCTCCGTTGTCCGGCCGAAACCCACCGGGGAAGGACGGTTGAGTTTGACTTTGGCTTTGGATTCTCCATGAATTTGTCTAGGAGTGCCAAGGAGTTGCTGACGAGCCGAGAGAGGTGATCCATTTTCTGTGTTATGTGGCTGATCGCAGCGGAGGAGGACGAGCGACCAGAGTCGATGACGGAGTCTTTGCATGACTGTTGGAAAGTTATGGCGGCGGAGAGCCATGTTTGTACGTCATGTTTGGTATGACGCTTTCTCGATGAGCCGTTGAGAGCTTCCATGGCTTGCCCAAGTCGTTTTGTGGACATCTTCATTAGTCGTTCACATGAATCTGTAACGGTTTGTTATGGCCAATTAAAATATTCACATTAAAATCATGGTCATTTTCGTTTCAGTTTTGAATAAAATACAAATTAATATGTGGACGAATATCAAAATCACAACAAATTAATTCGTTTCGTTGTACTTGCACATGATTTGTCAAAGTCATTAGGTAAGTTTTTTTTTGGTAGGTCATTAGGTAAGTTGGTGGAGGTAAAAGAGTAATATTTTAGTAATGAATAATATAACTTTGTTTATGTTAGTTACCATGTAGATGATATTTTGGGGCATACAAATTTAAGTGTATATCATATATTCATATGTGATAATATATATCTAAAAACTCAAATCTGTGATTGAAAGTAGTTAGTAAGAAATGGAAGAGAGACTAAAATGGTAAAAGAAATAAAGAATCATGCATGTGTTTTGATAACTGTCTCCCTCGTAACATAAAGAAGGGTGTTATTTAGATTGTGTTGTGTACCTGAGACAGAAGCTGAAGGCAACGTATGTGTGGAATCTTCCAGAGAAACGAATTCGGAGGAATCCATCGAAGAGAAGAGAGGAGGAATTTGAATATTGGAGTCTAGGATAGTCTTGTTAACAAGGAAAGACACAAAGTCGAGACCTTGAAAAGATCCATGTTGAAACTCTCGTAATGTTTGGACACAAAGTGAAGTGTACTTTGTGGAGCTACATTGTCTTTGCAGTTGGTTTTGGTAAGCAAATGGCATGTTTCTTGAGGCATCAACGAGGAGAAGGGCATTGACCAATAATACACCAAATAGAGCAAAATCTATGAAACCCATTTCTATTATAAAAGTTGATATATTTTTATTTATTTGCTTAGTTACTTTAGGAGGGAAAGTTGGTGTATCCAAATGACAAGAAATTAGCAATGATTTATAGAGGGAATGAAGAAGCTAGTTGTTAGCTGATGACTGATGAGGTAAGTGTCTGGTGAGTTAGTTTAGCGGTCTACCATTTTTTTCATTGAAGTAGATTGAGACTTGAGTGGCTCCGATGGGATTAATTTTTCATTTCTTTCTCTTGCATATATGCTTATTGGTTTACTTTCGGATAATCATCATTTTTTTGTTTGGTTGGATAATTCGATATCGCTTCAAACTGCTCATATGAAGTCAAATACCGACAATTACAAAAAACAAATCTCATACTTGCTCGATCAAGCACAACATTATTTTTGAAAAACAAAAAATCAGATGAACGTGAAATAAGAGATTAGTTGACAAATGACAACTACTGACCAATCATCTCTGCATTAAAACTTTAAAAAAAAAAAACAAAGAAGGGCCCAACCGGGTTCGAACCGGTGACCTATTGATCTGCAGTCAATTGCTCTACCACTGAGCTATGGACCCTTGGTGATCTTATTCATTCAAAGAGTTATTTTGTATTTATCTTTTTGTTATTTTGTTATTCGTTCAAGTCAACTCCAGTTAATTCTACGTAAGAGTAACATCATAAATCTTTGCTAATTCATGTTAAGTGACATCATAACACCCTCAGTTTCAAGTAAACACAAACTCATACTTCTCCTAATTAATTAAAGATGTGAACACATGTTGAAACCCACAAGTTACTCTCTTTTTTTCCTTACATTTAAACGGCATTTCTATTAGTACTTGATAAGAGTTAGTACGGCAAGCAATTAAACGAATTTGGAAAATTCACCAAGTGTTCCTCTTGACGTGCTAACTAAACATCCAAACTAATTATGAAAAAGTTTTACTCGAACAGTTAGATTCAAAGACATCACATATTGTGGACTCAGACTACTACGAATCAGATCATCATATCATAAGTGAAAACAAAAGAGTTCTAAGAAGTTTTAAACAAACACTAATCATACGTCTAAATATCGACCATTGTATTTATTTACACTTGTAACAAAGAGAATGAAAACAATTGTAGAACAATGTACAAATTGGGAAAAAAAAGCCTCAATGAACCAATGATCAATTAAACACCGCACATCCGACCGCAACCGCAACCGCCACCGCCCCCACCGTCCTCCACTTCACTTCCGTTGCACCGGAATTCCCCCGCGGCCGCAGCGTCTCGTGCCTGCTCGTGTCGATTTGAATCGGAAACCTACACGAACCGCGCGAAGGATCAATCTTAGTAGTAGTCCCAAGACCGTTGAAGTTGCACGAGCCACTACGATGATCCATTCTCTGGAAATACATATTGAAGGCGTAAGACGCATTCGCGACCGAGTCTAACGCCGCGCAAGACGAGCCTGGTCCCAGAGAGGTGCAATCAGCTTGCTGGCACGCGTAATCCGCCGACGACGCCCACGTGGCAACGTTCCCGCCCGCCCGAGGTGAAAGCACGCACCACTCACGTGCCTGGTAACGAACACCTTTCGCCGGAACCAGTTGACGGCCGTTTCCTAAGCTGAGAGGGTACTTCACGGCGCCGTCGTAAGATAATATTCCCCAATGCCGCTCGAATTTCCCGGGATCGATGCTCTTGATGTCTTCGTCCACTAGCGAGAATATGTAAACCTCCGGCGCCGTTTTCCGACGAGGCGTTCCTTGTCCTTGGAGGATACGGTTTAACAAGCCTTGGTTGAATCTCTGAGCCATCGCCGGATTCGCGTTTGGATCGCCGTCGGTGGGCCATCCGACTTCTCCGACGATGATCTCCACCTTGTTCGGATCGAATCCGTTTTTCTCCAGGGCCGAGACCAGAGTGTCGAAATTCGCGTCGAAGACGTTCGTGTAAGAGATGGATCCGTCGACGACGGGCTTAGTTCCACCGCCGCCGCCTCCGCTGCCTGGGAAGAAGGCGTATTCGCGGGGGAAATTTGGATCGGCGTTGAGAGAGAGGAAAGGGTAGATGTTGAAAGTGACGGGCGAGACGGAATCGGCGAGGAATCGAACGATGGAGATCATTAAGGTTTTGATGTCGGATCGGAAATCGCCGGAGGAAGGAAGACCGTCGCCGGATTCGTAGACGTCGGCGTTAAGAGGCACCGTCACTTTGACTTGCCGGCCGAGACCAGCTTTCACCAGAGCTGCCTGAACGTTCTGCAGCGCCGGGAATGTCAAATGGACGAATCTGTCCTTGTACGTCTTCAAGAATGGCTCATTCCCCACCGCTACATATCTGATCAATAATCAAAATTCAAAACCTTTAGAAACTCGAAGCATGTTTTAGCTTAAAGTTACAATCTTCAGAAACTTTGATCAGCTGAAAAATCTGATCTTTACAAACTTGGAGCATGTTTTAGCTTAAAAATCTGAACTTTAGACACCTAAGCATGTATTTAGCAATGGGGTAATTGAAATGTTCCATGCAAAATTACCTAATGTCGGTTCCATATTTGGAGATGTATTGAGAGACGTTCTGTTGAACCCAGAGCTCGGCGGCGGTAACAGTGGAAGCCATAGTTGCCAAGAGATCGTTGGGGATACCGACCATGACCTGAATACCAGATTTGCCAAGAGCTCTGAGTGCACCAGAGTCAGCTTCAAAGAGCTTGACCTTGTTGAAACCATTGTCTCTAAGGAGCTTCACCACTATGTTTGGTGGCAGAGGATGGCTCGCCATTGTCCCCCAGTTACATGCCAAGCCCTCCACATTCTTCAATACGTTGTGAAGTAACAATATAGATAGGCAGAAGTAGATGAGTTTTTGGTATGTATCATGACGACCCATCTCTTTATAAATGAAATTTTGGGTTGGAAGATTGTGTGGGGTCTCATGAGAATTTGCCTTTTGTGTGCGTGTGTGTGTATATATACAACAAATACAGGTTAGAGAGAGATAAAGATGTGGGAGTTAGGGGAAGATGAGTATATGGAAGAAAGAAGGGAAAGGAAAGGTATTTTGTGATGGTGGTCCAATAAAGAACTTGATTCCATTGTAGCTAAACCCTCAAATTAAAGTTTAAACCATCCAAGCAAGAGCTTCTACTATTCACATGGTATTCTCTCTCATTGATGCTAATATACAATAAGAGGGAGGGGTAAGAAGAAAAGGATGGAGTGTGTGAGATGGAGATCATGTTTTTGGGTTGTTTCATAGAGAATATTAGAAAAAGTTGACAACCTTTTCAAAAACTTTGCAATCACATAACCCAAACAAAAATCAATATTTGATCACAAGTATGAAAGCTTGGTTTTTCCCCCTCAAATTGTATATCATTAGATCAAAACCCGATTATTGAAAGAATCCATGAAACCATCGTCGAACAACAAACAAGACCCATAACAGAAAATGTATGTTAGGAATGAGATGACACTCAATGCTAAATTTCTCGATAGCTAGATTTCTAAATAAGAATCTAACGAAGCTTACCTATTCACAGAAGACAAGCCACGAGAAACCAAAAGGGTAGAGGGAGACTAATTGGTGTGTTTCTTCTTCCTGATGACACCTTTCTTCGATTAGTTAATGTCATCAGTTTCGATTGGTGGATTCCAAAAACAAATCTTCTCCACTCCGCGAGCCTTTGTGACCATATCGTTTAACCCCTTTGGTTGATACAGAGGAAGCATACGCCTAATCTCTTGCTTGAGCCCACTGGTGAAAAGGGTTCTCAGAAGTTCATCGGAGATGTCCGACGTCGACGACTGCGACGCCAGCTTCTCGAATTCGCCGAGATAGCCTACAACAGAATCCACCTGTTTGAGAGTGAGTAAACGACTCAAGCCACCACCGGATACCAACGAATCCCCAAATCGGTCTAACAGCCGAGATTTGAAATCGCTCCAATCCAGAAACGGTTCACGACGCTCCCAGAGGTTGAACCAGTTCAAGGCTTCGCCGTCGACGCTCAGGTAAGCTAGCCGAAGCTTCTCCGCCTCCGTGAAACCTCCGATTTTGAAATACCTTTCAGCTCGGAGAATCCACGAGTCTACATTGCGGCCGTCGAACACCGGCATCTCGATCTGGATCTTCTTCAGATGAGTGTAGCGAGACTCCTTCTCGTCCGATGTGTTATCCGCCGCGATCGGTTGTTTCTTCGGGGACACGGGGAGGTCCTGATCCGCCGGTACTTGTGATGATTCCTTCGCCGGCGCTGCTGTAGTCGCCGTGGGTTGAAGCGCTGCTTTCAGCTCCGACATGGCTTTTAATATCTCTGACATGGTATTGCGTAACGTACCCACCGTCGCGTGAATAAGAGCCATCGACGTTTGCACCTCCTCCATTGCTTCCACCAGAAAATCCGCGGTATCGCCAACCTCATCGACAATGTGTTGATTTGGTGCCGCCATTGAAGATGATAGGAACAAACACTCTTCTTGAAAAACCCAAACAAAAATCACATAAAAAGGGGTAATAACGAGTAGACCCCACAGTCGACCTACCATCAAAACGACTGTGCTTCACTTTGCTTCGACCCGACCCATTAATAATTCCAACACGTACCCGCTTCCTAAATTTTTTTAAGATATTGCTTCTATACTTGTAAACGTTTCCGTTTTCGCATATCCGCTTCTCATTTCATGCACTTCGACCCGACCCATTAATAATTCCAACACATACCCGCTTCCTAAATTTTTTTAAGATATTGCTTCTATACTTGTAAACGTTTCCGCTTTCGCATATCCGCTTCTCATTTCATGCACTTTGCTTCACTCTTTGCTTCGACCCAACCCATTAATAGTTCCAACACATATCCGCTTTCTAAATTTTTAAAGATATCGCTTTTATATTTGTAAATGTTTCCGGTTTCGCATATCCGTTTCTCATTTCATGCACTTTGCTTCACTCTTTACTTTACCTGTTTCCTATTTTTTAAAAAAAAATATCGTTTCTAAACGTTTCGACTTCCCCATATCGCTTCTAATTTCATGCGACTTAGGTCTGTTAGACCGTTGTTCAAAAAAAAAAGGTCTGTTAGACCATTAGTGATTATAATATTTTCTTTATGAAATTGTGTTCACTCGATGCCTTGGTACAACTACAGGATGTTAGAAAATGAAACATTTTTTTCGCTTGAAGGTCTATTGATCAACACTCTCATGAACAATATATAATGTTGTTACGAAGAGTTTTACGAACAGTTACAATACATATTTGTATGCTTGGTTTTCTCACGAAAACATTAACCAATTTTAGCTCACACAACAACCATGGACTCATATCTGACTTTTGGTGTGGATCAATTAACCTAGAATAAGCTGCCAAGCCGGTACCGGCTTCCTATTTTATTTTTAAATATCACTTATATAACTTGTAAACGTTTCCGTTTTCGCATATTGACTTCTCATTTCATGCACTTTGCTTCACTTTGTTTCGGCCCAACCCATTAATAGTTCCATAGTTTCAACACGTATCGGCTTCCTAAATTTTTTTTCTAAAATATCGCTTCTAAACATTTCCGCTTTAGCATATCGCTTCTCATTTCATTTCATGCAGCTTAGGTCTGTTAGACCGTTTATAATATTTTCTTTATGAATTGTTTTCACTCGATGCCTTGCCTTGGTACACCTACAAGATGTTAGAAAATGAACATTTTTTTCGCTTGAAGGTCTAATGAATCTCAACACTCCCTGAACAATACATAACGTTGTTATGAAGAGTTTCACGAACAGTGACAATACGTCTTTGTATGCTTAGTTTTCTCATGAAAACATTAACCAATTTGAGCTCACACATCACCACAACCATGGACTCATATCTGACTTTTGGTGTGAATCAATTAACCTAGAATAAGCTGCCAAGCTGGTACGATATGAAGAATGAGATGAGTAGATGATTGTTAAGAAGTTTGATTCGTTTGGAGTTTTTCATCCGGTTAACTTTGATCTTTGTATGCTCCGGTTAGCTTCTATTATTTGTGATGACTAGTATATAACAGAAACAGGTGATCTTAACAGAACTTATATTAAATGTTGGCGGTAAAATTTAGTTGTGTAGACTCAAATAAATTTTGGATTTGACTTATATATTAACGTTACAGAACTCAAAGATTTGTGATTAGAAGTTTAAAAATTTGATATTATTATCATATTCCCTATCCTACCCTTTAAATCCCCAATTTACAAAATTAACCATTTCTCACGAAGTAATTTCTATCGATCAACACTAAAATCATATGAAACTGGAAAAGAAAAAAAAAATCAAATTCAAACGAGAAGATCGTCTCCGAAGAGGTAGAGAAGCCTCTCAACGGCCCAGCTGGGCTCGTTCTTCGCCGGCCAATCTCCACACGACGACGTATTAGCAGCAAGCAGCGGAGTTCTACACAGAGGACAAGTCCGGTGGTTATCATCCTCACCGTCGTTATCATCTCCGCTGCAGCATTCGTAATCCAGCCACCGGTCGATACACTCGCGGTGGAACACGTGGCTACAGTTCCTGAGCTCTCTGACCTCATCTCCGTCTTCTAGATCCCCGAGGCACACCGCGCAGGTGTCGCTGACCAATTCAGGAGACCGCTCCGCCGCGTCGCGGAAGGTGGTAACGGATAGGCTCTCCTTGATGGCCTGTGAGGAGATCGGAGGAGAAGAGGAGGTGGAGGTGGAAGCGGATCTAGATCTGGATCGGTAGCGTAAGATCCAGGCGAGAATCCATCTCAAGACGGTGATAAAAACCGCCATTTTGTAGAGAAGTTGAGTGACGATGAGACCGGAATCTTCGATGAAGAAGCTCATTGTTTTTTAGCTGAGGAATGTGATGAGTGAAGGAGAGAGAGAGAGAGAGAGGAGAGAAGGGGAAGGAAGAATGGAGAATGAGATTCGTTTTTAATAGGAGGAATATAGCTGTTTCTTGCTGATGCTTTCCTTTTTGTTAGTGCTGTCTTTATTTTTTCCTTTATGGCTTTTAATTTTTATTCTTTTAGTAAATTAAATTTTCATTTTTGGTTTAGTCATTTAAAAATGCAAGTTGCTCGGATTTTTTTTTATTTTTTTACAAATTAGGTGTCCAATTTTCAATTGTGATGATATACACTTTTTTGTTTAGCTCTTCAAAGTTCAAACTAAAGAATGAAGGATAATGTAATGCCAAAATTATATAAGCTTTATCTTTGTTAGTCGGTGAGAAATAGCAGCTGATTTACATGTTTATTAGTTCACATAAATCATTCAAATAATTTCAAAATCTTGGAGACATCTGAAAAAGATTCGTGACAAAATATGACCCTTAAAGAAACTTAAAGAAACATAGGGGTCAATTTCTGAAAGTTTAACAAAAGAATCTTACAGAAGTTCGCCGTGTGCGTAACGAGTGACGGAGTGTGGGGTCGAACTGCAATTTGCGAAAGTAAAAGAGAGTATGACAATAAGAAACAAATAAATGACGTGGGAAAATTGCAATTTCGGAAACGTAAAAAAGAGTAAACGATAAGAATCAAGTAAATGACGTGAGCCAACTCTTTGTGCCGTTCGTGTCATACTCTTCTGTTCTCAACTAAGTAAGGCTTCTCTCTTCTTCTTTTTTCATCTTCTTTTTCTTTACCAAAGCATCCCAAAAGAGAAACATTTCTTTTATATTTTGTTATCTTGGTTTTTAAACTTTTAGTGGAAGATGACCATTCGATGACCAACAAAGGAGATAAACACTGTAATATCTCCTAATCTACGTTTTCAAAGTTCAAATTATAATATGATTGATAGCCTAAGAGTATATATGGCGTCATTTCTGGCTTTTGACTCATGTGCAGGGACACATTTGTATAAACCTACGTGATTATTGACCGTCCATGATCTTAACTATATTTAATACTTACGCTTATGTAATACCTTTTTCTAATGACTTGTATGGATTAATTTAAAGAAAATCTTGCTAAGTAAATAGTAGATCAATCGCATTGGTCTTGCTTTTATTCTCCTAGTTAAAGGCTCAAAAAGCTGTTCATTTCGTGTCGGATTTTCTCTACCACCCATATAATACAGGATCTAAATCTGCCCACGCATGGCTATAAACCTGACCATTTGGGTCCTTTAAGATTTAGGTCATCGAATTTTCTTTTCGTATGTTCGTTGAGAATATTTTGAGTAACTATTTAACAATCTGATACGCGCACCTATACTTAGTTAGTTTACGTTTGAAACAATGATGACATGTCAACCAACCTAATGATCTTGTCACTGGACCAAGAGTTCATGATCATGCATTTCTATAAGACTACGTGATTAAATGGTGTACCTTTTGTTTCTTCTAACTGTATTGGTAAAAGAAACTGAAAGCTGTGAAATCATGAATATTTTTCTTTGCTTTTGAAATCAAATCGTCTATAAAGCTACTGAACCGAAGAAACATAGTTTTCTGGTAAGAGGATTGATAAAAAGTTGTCGTTATAATTAAAGCTAGCGATCATAAGGTCCCATCTATGATCTGCTCTCCTTTACAACGTGTTTTGGTCGGTTGACCAAACTTTACAACTCCAAACCACATCAACCTTGAAGTTTAGGTGTGACGACTCTGAGATCTTTTTTTCAGATATTTAAATAAGACTAACCTAACCAATTTTGCAAATAGATAGGATCATTCGAACTACTTATTTGGTATCCAAATCACTGACCGATTTTGTATTATGTTGTATTCAGTTTTGTTTTTTTTCACAAAACTAAGAACTTTCAGTTACGAATATATGAAACAAAATTCAAACTATGTTACCAAAACAGGATGCAAGTATATAAACAAGTAAATCTCCAAGGAGCTTTACCTTTTTTTTTTTTTTCTTAAGGTCCAATCTAAAAATGTCTAAAACCATAGTCAAAACCATACAAAACAATATCCGAAATAAAAAACTGCAAAAAAAAGATCCAAAATCGAAAACACAATCTAAAGCACTGAAACATGGTCACTGGGGAGGGTGTGATCGTGTAATCATCAAGTCTCGCTCCCACCATGAGCACGTGTTGGGTTTTACATCCTGTCTTCTCTCCTCCTCGGAGCACATGTGATGATCTCATCCACTCGCAGAATCATCTCCGCTGCTTCTGTTGCAGAAAGCAAAACCGCTTGCTTCACTTTGAATGCTTCATAGATTCCTCTCTCCTCCATACTTCCGACCTGTAAAAACAATCAAATGGATCAATCACCATCACAATTCAAGTCTAATCCTAGTTTTTGTTTCTAGAGTTTACTTACAGCTCCAGTGATGACATCGATTCCGGAGTTACATCCTTCGCTGTGGTGCTCTGCACGAAGCTGAGCCACAAGTTCTGCACTGTCTAAACCAGCGTTGTCAGCGATTGTAGTCGGTATAGCCACCAGAGCGCGTGAGAAAGCTTCAATCGCATGAGATTTCTTGCCAGCGGTTTTACGTGCGAGCTCATCTACTTCCTTTGCCATCACCATCTCTGGCCATCCACCTCCAAGCAACACTCTCGAGTCGTTCACTGTTTGGGAGAGCACACATAAAGCATCATGGAGTGATCTCTCAGCCTCGTCTAGTACATGGTGACTGCAAGAAACAAACATGTCAGAGAGTGAACTAGACACAGAATGAAGTCTACACAAAAGATGTGGACGAAAAGATGGATTGATACCTAGCACCCCTAAGGACGATAGAGCAGGCCTGGCCCATCTCAACACCAGAGAAATGGATCAACTTGTCTTCACCAATCATGATCTCTTCAATGAGCTTGCAGTGGCCAAGTTTAACAGACTCTGGGTTGTCGAAGGTGGAAGCGATCTCACCGCCTGTAACCAAACCAAGACGCTCGATTCCCTCAAAGTCGGCGTGCTCAATAGCGAGTACACCGGCATCAGCAAAGAGTTCCTCGGGGAAATTGTAGATCAGTTGCCTGTTGACGAAGCAGTTGATCCCGTGAGCTAAGATCTTCTTCACCTTGTCCTTCATCTTTTCCTTCTCAGCTCCTTCGATCTCAGCAACCTTGGTCATGGAATCAACACGGACACGTGCACCATAGATTTTGACTTTATCAGTGTCCATTGCTGTATTAGCTACCAGGATCTTTGCATTCTCTATGCGCTTGGGCTGCCCAATTCCGATCTTCTTGTCAAGAATGAACCTAAAGGCATATATTTAAAATGATACGCCGTGAGAAAAAATAACTGGATGACCAAAAGGAGGAACTCAATATAACAAGATGACAAAGTGCCTATCAAATTTTCAAAGTAAGACTATACATATGAGATTGAGGTGCACAAGCTGTAAAGAAGAAAGGAACTACCATAAACAGGTGAATACTAAATAGAGATCCATAGCTCTCAGAAACATATTTTGTACAAAAGGAGGAACGCAACATAACAAGATGACGAAATGCCTATCACAATTTCAAAGTAAGGCTATACATATGAGACTAAGTGTACAGGCTAAAGAGAAGAAAGAAACTACCACAGACAGGTGGATACTAAATAGAAATCCATAGATCACAGAAACATATTTTGAATAGACAACAAAGGGACACGTGGTTTCTTACCCTTCATCCAAAAAGGAATCTCTCAGGGAGCCTCCAGGTTTTTTGATGATTTGAATAGCTTCCAGGTTTGTGCTTCCCTATTTAAACGACAACACCAGAATCTCAGGGACAAATCCAAAATGACATTCGTCAAAGAAAAATTCATTCATGAAATAACACATAAGTTCCAGAAAAAAGAGAAGGAATAAACACATTGCACATTAAGTTTAAAAAGAGGGCAGAAATAGAACCTTAAGCCTGAAAACAGCATCCACGGCCATTTCTGCGAAGTGCTCCTTGTCCTGTGATAGAATTTTCGAACATAAGGTAGTCATTGCAATCTTTGTCAAGTCTGACTTGAACTTCTCTGCATTGACACGAAACACAACATATTGTAAATAACAAGGTGATTTTCAAAGTTAATGGTGAAGGAGAGCACACAACACTGAAGAAATCACAAAAACAAGAGAATGCTATATACTTTATTATGTCTGCATAACAAGTCTTAACCATCCATATAATGATTACCTGGATCCTCCTTATTATCGATCACTCTTTTCAGTATAGCATCACGAGCACATTCAGCAGCCATTCTGTATCCTAAGGAACCGGAAAATGAGAGAATATCAAACATCATAGCTAATACAACGATGCCACTTTAATACTTAAAAGCACCAACCAGAGCCATACCTGCAATTATCGTCATTGGGTGAATCTTAGAAGCAAGAAGCTTTTCCGCTTCCCTCAGTAGCTCGCTCGCCAAGACGACAACAGATGTAGTCCCATCACCAACCTCATCATCTTGAACTTTCGAGATGTCTAAAAAATCACATACAAGAGGTGAGAATGAGCAAAAAACAAATGAAAAATGAAATTGTAATTTGTTAAAGCCAGAATGTTGCAGGAAACCATACCAACAAGAACTTTAGCAGCAGGGTTGTCTATGTGAAGTGACTTTAGAATAGTAGCTCCATCGTTGGTGACAGTGACGGCATGACCTCTACCAGTAGACTGTAAGATTTTATCCTGAAGAGCAATAAGATTCAGCTACAATTAATAATCTCAAATTAACATTTACAGAGAGCTCTCAGATATTGGGGATCGGAAGTTTACCATTCCCTTAGGGCCTAAGGTAGTCTTAACGAGGTCACCAATCGCCATTGCACCAATACATGATGCCTAAAGAGCAAACAAAAGTGAATCAGATTTATTAAAAAAAAGAGCGAATCTGAAAAACCCTAAATCCTCGATGAACACTCACCATCCTAGCTCGTTCACCCTTCTCCTCACTAGCGTCATCTTTGAAGATCTTATCGATCTGAATAAGAGTAGCTAAGTTAATGACCGGTTCACGAACACTGGCAAAAGCAAAAATAAAATGAAAGAGACGGCGGAGAATCATACCGGCATTGGGAAGAGCGGAAGAGCACGGAGGGCCTATCAGTATCCGAGATCTGGCAAAGTCCAATCTGGTTTTCAATAGTCGGGTCCTTCGAACGAAGAAGAAGAAGCCGAGAGAGGAAAACCAAAATATTGAGTTTGCTGAGAAGAGCAGAAATGAGAGCAGGAGCACTTAGTAACCCTAAGAGAAAAGGCCCAATGACCAAATTACCCTTCCATTTTCCAGATTTCTGATTTTGAATTTTTTTTGTGTTAAAAATTAATGTAAGCCCAACAAGCTAACAGTAGTTTATGAGCCCAATGGATGGGAAGCATATTGAGCACATACAGTATTTATTTTCTTATTTCTTTTTTTGGATAGACCGAAAAATCACGACCCGTAATCCAAACTACACGTTTCCCGTTCTGGTTAACCGAAATTGGGACCGAACCACATGGTTTGAAAACGACAGGGAATCATATTCGCGCACGTTTCTAAATGGCTGTCTTAACGAAGTCAAACAAAAAAAATATCCAACACACGGTCGATACGTGTCGAATAGTTTAAGCTTCTGGGGTGGTTTCAATTCATAGTCAGAACGACGTCGAGACAAAGCGAACAAAGCTGCAGAGAATATCAAATTCCGTGACAAGATCTCTACGAATTCCAAAGAAAATGGCGATTGCTAAAGTGGAAGATGAGCCACGCGCTTCCGTTGAAGTTGGATGCGGAAACATCCTGGGACGTGGTGCTGGCGACGGCGAGGGGAATCGCCGAGTTGAAATCGGCGGTGACGACACTGTGAAGGGTGATATCGCCGGATCTGTCGCCGGAGAAGATGGATTTTCAGCTGAGAAATCGATTGACGGAGCTAGGTACGAGATGTGTTTGAGAATGACTGTTTTGATTCATATGATTTCATTTTAGTCTAGTTTTGGAAATTGATGGTGGATGCCAAAAGCCAAAACAATTTATGGATAAGACTTTGGATCTGTTTTCATTCGGATGTATATGTAAAAAAAGAGTGGGTTTTAAGGATTTAGATATTAGTTGCTATTTAGGGAAAGTCGTGTTTCTCGGAGGAATCAACTTGTTCTTGTCTGAAAACATTGGTTTCCACTTCTATCATTGTCTGAGAAGAGAAAAATCTTATTCATGTAGCCACTAAACGAAGGAGCTTAAAAAACTAAATGGCCCTGTTCGTTTGATAATCGCAGCGTCTGCGATTGCGTTTGCGACTGCGATTACGATTTTATAATCGCAAGATATTGTTCGTTTGGCAGTCGTGCGACTGATCGCGCGATTGGTCGCAAGCAATAATCGCAGTCGCTGAAAATTCGTTGCGACTAAAAATTATAGTCGCTGAATCGCGCGATTGATTGCTGCGGTAGTCGCAGGATCCTGCGACTGTCAAACGAACAACAAATAATCGCAGTCGCAATCGCAACACCCCTGCGACTGCCAAACGAACAGGGCCAATGACATTCAAACTATGTGGAGACTTTTTTGTGTCCTAGCTATTTGATTGTGCTCAATGTTTTTGCATCAAATTTTAATGGTCCCACTACTATTGAAGGTCCTCTGAGGCGGATGCTTCAACGGTCACTCCAACTCAACTTACTATCTTCTTTGGTGGGAGAGTGACTGTGTTCGAAGGAATTCCAGCAGAAAAGGTTTGGTCCACTATTATTAGCACATTTCTGCTTTCTTTTGTTTTGTCTGAAAATATCTTGTTCTCTCACTGGTGTGATCCATCATCGCTTGCAGATTCAAGAGATCCTCCGTATAGCTGCTGCTGCTGCTGCTAAATCAATTGAGACAAAGGTTTCGTCAACGAGCGTCAGTCCTGTCCCTTCTCCAGCAATGAACAGAGCTCCTTCTTTCTCAAGCACATCCACTGCTGCTTCACCTGCTGCACAGTCCTTTCCCGTTAACCCTATCTCGTTTTGCAGATCCGCGGCTGGTAAGTATCGGATTTAACTGAAATCTTTCAAACATTGAAAATGGTTTTTCTCCATGAATCTGTTTTTTTTTTTTTTTGTTGTTGGCCGATTCAGATCTACCAATTGCAAGGAGGCATTCGCTTCAACGGTTCCTTGAGAAACGACGGGACAGGTATCTGTATGCATCATCCATCTCCATTTCACTCGGAATTCAAATCTTTTTGATTTTCTTCAGTTTTTGATCGGCTTATAATAATACAAGGGAGCTTTGTTATTCCTTAGAGGGACTTGTGAGTTGTGAAGATAGATTCTAATGTCAACATTTACCTTATTTATTTGCAGATTGGTCAACAAAACCCCTTACTTTGTTCCCCCCACAAAAAAGGACGATGTCCCAATAGAGAATGCCGACACAAGCTCTCTTGGTGCAGCCTCTATTAAGGAGGAAACCCCGACTGCTTAGCAACAAGATCAATCTCCAATAAAGAAAGGGGCTTAACAAACATCACTTGGAGAGTAAAACGTTATTTACATGTTTAATATGTTTAATCTGGATTATATAAACATGCAGTCATGTGTGTATTGTATGATATAGAATCTTTAAGTCCTGTGTAAGGTGTTGTAAGCTCTTAAGTATTGTGTTGTATTGGATGCAAACGCAATTGTACCACGTAATGCTCTGAAAAAGGTGTTGTGAGCTCTTCTTTAACCAATCTTCGACTTAAGTATTGTGTTCGAAAATACTTAAGTGACGGCAAAAGAAAGAAAAAAAAAGCAGTAGCCTTTTCAAAACATTAACCAAAAAAGTTGTAGTAACAACGAACGAGTTCGAAAAAAAAGCTAAGACCGATATGATAAAAAGAGATGACAACAAGTAGCGTTAATCATTTAACTGCAATCAAAGTGCAGATTTTAGTCGACTTCCTCCATCTTGGAACCTCAGCATCATCTTCAAGCGGAGGCATCTCTGCATCACCTTCAACGGCTTCATCATCCTCCTCAATGCTCAAGTCCAAGCTTCAACATCCTGTGGATTCTGCTCCCGAAAGTGTTGGGCTCGTCGAGGCTGAAACCAGAAGTGAGAAGAGCAGTCTCAAAGAGAAGAAGAACCAGATCCTTCACGGACTTGTCGTTCTTGTCCGCTTCAGCTCTCTTCCTCAGCTCGTCCATGATCGAGTTCTCTGGGTTGATCTCCATCGTCTTCTTGCTCGACATGTAGCCACCCATGCTGCTGTCTCTCAAAGCCTGAGCTTTCATGATCCTCTCCATGTTCGCGGTCCAGCCGTACTCGCCGGTGACAAGACAGCAAGGTGAGTCCACGACACGGTCAGAGACGATAACCTTCTCGACCTTGTCTCCCAAAACGTCCTTGATCACTTTGCAGAGCCTTCGAACTTCTCCTTGAGCTCTTCCTTCTTCTTCTTCTCGTCTTCAGTCTCTTCGAGTTTCAGACCTTCCTTGTTGCAGAGACGAGCTTCTTTCCCTCAAACTCCTTGAGCTGACCAATGGCGTACTCGTCAATGGCATCAACCATGTAAAGGACTTCGTACCCCTTCTTCTTGAGCTTCTCGAGGAATGGAGAGTTCTCCACAGCCTTCTTGCTCTCACCGGTGATGTAGAAGATGTCCTCCTGACCTTCCTTCATCCTCGTCACGTAGTCCTTGAGGCTGGTCAATTCATCACCGCTCTTGGTTGAGTGGTAACGGAGCAACTCAGCGATCTTGGTTCTGTTCTGAGAGTCCTCGTGGATGCCGAGCTTCAGATTCTTGGAGAATGCCTCGTAGAACTTGTTGTAGTCCTCCTTGTTCTCAGCAATCTCAAAGAAGAGCTCAAGGCACTTCTTCACAAGGTTCTTGCGGATGACCTTGAGGATCTTGTTCTGCTGCAAAGTCTCTCTGAGATGTTGAGAGGAAGATCTTCAGAGTCGACAATACCCTTGACGAATCCAAGGTACTCTGGGATGATGTCCTCACAGTTGTCCATGATGAAGACACGACGGACGTAGAGCTTAATGTTGTTTGGCTTCTTCTTGGTGTCAAAGAGATCGAAAGGAGCTCTCTTGGGAACGAAGAGGATAGCCTTGAACTCGAGCTGTCCCTTCAACGGAGAAGTGCTTCACAGCCAAATGCTCTTCCCAGTCATTGCTGAGACTCTTGTAGAAGCGGCGTACTCCTCCTTGTTGATCTCCTCTGGCTTTCCTCATCCAGATAGGCTTCTGCTTGTTCACCAAATCCCACTCGTGAGAAACCTCCTTGATCTTCTTCTTCTTCTTCTCCTCCTTCTCCTTCTCCTCATCTACCTCCTCGACCTTGCCTTCCTCATCCTTCTTCTCTTCCTCGTCTTCATCATCAGAAATCTCCTTCTCAATGGTCTTCTCAATCCAGAGAGAGATCGGGTAGCTGATGAACTCAGAGTGCTTCTTGACCAAATCCTTAAGCCTCCTCTCCTCAAGGTACTCCAACTGGTCTTCCTTGAGGTAAAGGTCATCTTCGTTCCCCTGCCAAGACTCTCACCGGAAGTGTCTCTGGTCACGGTGAAAGATCCACCAGCCTGAGACTCCCAACGTACTGCTCGTCATCGTTGTGCTTGGTGGTGACAATGACCTTATCAGCAACAAGGTAAGCCGAGTAGAAACCAACACCAAACTGCCCAATCATGCTAACATCAGCTCCAGCAGCCAACGCCTCCATGAATTCCTTGGTACCAGACCTTGCAATTGTTCCAAGGTTGTTCACCAAATCTGTACATAGAACAAACACGCATTAGCCAAAACATCAACACAGAGATACAGATTTTCAAAAGCTTAAGATTTAGTCGAAATCAATACGTACCAGCTTTGGTCATCCCGATACCACTATCAATGATGGTCAAGGTGTTGTTAGTCTTGTCAGGGATGATGTGAATGAAAGCTCTGGCTGGCCATCGAGCTTGCTCTTATCGGTCAATGACTCGAACCTAATCTTGTCCAACGCCTGCATCAACGCAATACAAACACTCAATCGTAAGCAACAGATACACAGAACATATACAAACCTGAAAACGCAGAGTCTAGAGCTCAAATCTATCTCATGAGTGACAAAAAACAAATCATAGAGTGTCCCTACTACAGTGAGCAGCACAGATTTCCGAAATCGAGAAAACAGTAACCTACTCATACCTAAATCTACAGATCGATACAGTAAATCAGATACACATACACAAGCAATAGAGAAAGAGAGAGAGAGCGAGAGACGTACATCGGAGGAGTTACTGATGAGCTCACGAAGGAAGATCTCCTTGTTGCTGTAGAAGGTATTGATGATGAGGGAGAGCAACTGGTTGATCTCCGCTTGGAAAGCAAAAGTCTCAGCGTCCGCCATCTCGTTGATCGGAATTCTAGGGTTTATGAAGCAGATTTAGAGAAAGGGAGCTAAAAAGATTTTTCTTCAGATGGTAGAGATGGCGACTGAGAGAGGAGGTTTGTATTTATACGAGATAGTTGGGTACGCATAGGGCTTCCAGATCCTTCTGTGAGAGATTACATTATGCTAATTTTAATCTTTGACAACTTAACATAATACAAAATTAACGTTTACGTGTGTACTTTTCTTTGCTTTTTTACCGTCAACAAGTGTAGTTTACATTTTTCTTGATTTTTTTTCTCAGGGTCTAAGTTACTGAGTAATTCTTTATATCGCTATTGTTATTTTTCTATTTTGCCTTTCTAAATACAACATGTTTAGTAAAATGCAGTATAACACCACTAATTAGAAATGTTGTGAACCTTAAGCTGAGAGAAGATGATGATCAGTTAATTATGATAAATCGTTCATATACTTTACAGGAAAGTTGGGTAAGAATTGAAATATTGAATGGTTACCAAAACATAGTAAAATACACACGACTAGTACAGTAATTTTGATTGTGAATGACGAACAAGGCAAGGAAAAAACCAAATGGATCGTGTGTGCTTCTAAACGTACATATATTCACCTCCTCTGACAGCATTCTCTGCGCCTTTCCGCTCTTCCTCAGCCTCCTTCTCCCTCTCTTTCCAGCTCTCGTACTTCTGATCGTCTGTCGGTAATTCATGGCGGCATATAGGGCAAGAGTTATGCTCGTCCTGCCATAACAATATTTGAATGCTCGCTCAAGATAAGCAATTTTATATAACTATGAACAAAGATTGAGACTTTTCATTTTATTTTTTACCATCCAAGGCTTTAGGCAAGGAGGGTGGAATGTATGCTTGCATGGCAGCTCCTGCATTTTGTCGCCGATCACCAGATTCTCCTTGCAAATGCAACATTCCGTCTCTGCTCCCAACTTCTTAAGCATCTCCTCACTGAAAACAATCACCGGAAGTTTCTCCACAACTTCTTTACTCGCCGGTGGAGCTCTTGGTGGTCCACCATCTTCTAGCATCTACACACAGACCACATCACATATATGATATATCATTCGTCAATCACTAGGCTAAGCAACGTGTGATCATACAACAATTGTAAGAGATGTAAAAGCTAACCTCCGGGATGATACTGTCAAGACCGTTGATGAAGTCTTGCATCAAACTGGCCGTGTCCCCAAGAGTGTTTTCAGCGGCAGGGCCATTGGAAGATTCACCAGCAACGATGGAAGCGAAAGCAGACATGAGATTCTGCTGCACTAGCCACTGAGGCTGCGGCGGCTCGCGATCAACAGTTAGATGTCCTTCGAAAAGATAACCCTGTGGCTGCGAGCTCTCGGTTGGCTGGTTATCTACTTCGGTTAGCTGCTCCTTGGCTTGAGCAATGCAAGACTTCAAGTGTTTCTTCTCGGAAGCATCAGAGACGAGCCGCTCAGCTTCCTCGAGAAGGCTCAGCCCCGCAACCCAAAACCCGGTGGCTGTGTATCTTGTCTTGAGAACCGTTGCCACACGAGATACAACTATATAGAACTGCAATTTCCATCAAACACACACACACACACAAACATTCGATTAAGCAACGAAACAAGTGTCCACTGAAATTCAAATGGGATTAAATTGAAGATCTTTGACAATAAACATGAACTTTAAGATGTTTGATTCCTAATTCAATTCCTTAAAGAAGTAACCACAATCGATCATAAGCAATGCGTACAAGTCAATCAAACATTCAAATAGCAGGAATTGCGCAAAATGGCCAGCAAAATCCTTAAATTTCGAGCTATTTTAATATCCGTTTTGGTAAGGAATCTAATAATGAAAACCAACCTGTTTGCGGAGAGAAGGAGAGGAGGAAGTGTAGCGATCACGGAGAAGAGAATGGATAGAACGGACTGATGCCTCGAATCTCAGCTTTTTGTTGAGCTGTTTCTGCAGATCATCGAGTTCAAGCTTCAAGCTTTCCTCGGAAGGAGACGGTGAAGACGATGCATCCATTAAAATTTTGCCTTCGAGAGTTAAATGAGAATTCAGGGGTTTGGGATGAATTGAGGATTTTGTAAGAGGCTCCGAAAGAATTTGATCAGATTTATGAACAACGATCTCGTATTCTGAGATTTTTGTAGAGATTTGAGTTTTCTTGAACAAGAGGAAAGGACGAAGTCGGTCGGGTCGAATCCGGTCCAATTTGATTTGGTTTGGTTTGTTGGACAAGTAGAGAACAATCGTTAAAATTAGACGTGTTGACCGATGAAGACCAGGCCAGTCAAAAATGGATAATGTCTGTAAAATGCCTGTAATCCATAGGTTTGTATTGGAATCTGGAACATTTTTTATAAACCCACATGAAAATTATCTTTTCATATCAATAAGCTTGGAATTGCATGGACAAGAACACTTGACACAAAAAAGAGTCTATGGGTTTAGTAATTCGACCTTGAAGAGTTAAACCACATGAATTTGACAAACTAAGAAGGTTTTGATCCAAAAAAACAAGACAAGTGTGAAGAAGTATCTCAACTCCATGACAAACTCTTTAGTTCCCCAAAACAAAAGACCATACGCTTCATCAACCATACGTTTCTCAAGTCTTCCTGCGACCAACACGGGCAACGAAACCAGCTTTGATCTGCGCCACAGATCGTCCAGATCCACACTGCAAAAACAAGTATCGTTCATCATATATGCAAATCAAGAAACACAGATAGTCAAACATAGCTCAATACACGATAGACTTGGCAAGAAGAGATTTTACCTTCTCGCATCTGAGAAAGAAGAGACGATTCTCTTTCGAAAGAATCGTGTCTGGACTCTTGCAACCAAAGCAAATGACGTACTCATCTACGGATAACACAAGCAAGGAACCACATTAGCAACTCCAAATTTATATTCTTTATTTTCATGGCAGTTCAAATTTCAAGACTAGAGAGAAAGTTACTTACTGACATAACGCCGCAAAATCCCTTCAAAATTCTTGGGCGCAAATCTTCCCTTGACAACCAACCTCTGCTGCCCATCAAGCGAACCACTAGTACCCAACTCAGCAAGCAAGAAGTTCATAACATGATCTGGTTGACGATGCATCCTGATATTTACACAGATAAAACATGCCTTATAGTCAATATAACTAGTACTTATGGTTAATTAAGAGAATATAAAAGGAGGGTGTGATTGTCATACGTCTTGCAAAGGTCCATGAAGTTGACAAACACTGTCTTCTTTGTCCCCTCACGAAGAACTTGAGGAGGCCTCATAACTGTACGACGCCTATCTCCAGCAAGCTCCGGATTGTTTTCACGGAGGATGTTAAAGACTCTTCCAAGAAGCTGCATATATAACTCCCCCGTCAGCAAAAACCAAGCAATATACATGAATAATGCCCAATTTTCATAACCAAAGAACGTCATCAATCGATTCTGGTTTTATGCATGAAAACAATCTAAGATATACTCACCTCCTCATATAGATAATCTCTATCAGTTCCCTCCCAGGGGTAAAGTTGTTGCTGCAGAGGTATTCCTTCACCTTCTTCCTCATCATTAACATGCTCTGCAATATATTGTAAGTAAGATTCAAACAGTCTGGCCACGAGAAACAGTTAATTAGCACCATTAGAAAGAACAAAATACCATCCAAATCTTCTCCAGTATCAACACTTTCGTCATTCACTAAGCTTGATTCAACCTAACCATCAAACAAAAAAACCAATGTGAGGCACAGAATCATCAAAACACAAGCTTTATAAGGAATTAAAAGAACTTTAGAAGGCACAAAACGTTAAAGCACTCACTGGCTTCTTCTTCTTTTTCTTCAGTCCAGCAAATGAACTCTCAAGACCATCGCTAGCTGCAGGAAACGAAATTAGGCAATGTCACAGCTAAACCACTGAAGAGAAACGAAAAAAGAGTTTCACACCGCATTGACTCTTAAACATACCAGGCACTGAGTCAGATTTCTCCGCCTGTGACTCTGTTGAGTCCTCAACCGGATCCTGAAGGACAACCTTCTTCTTCTTCTTCTTCTTGGTTGGATCAAAGGGAGCGAGCTGATGAACAAGGATAACCAAAAAAAAAATCAATTAAAAAACAAAACCACAATCTATATAGGTAACTCGAGCTTTATCGATGGAGAATCTCCTTATGGACAAAAACCGAACTTACTTCTTGCTCATCCTTCACCTCTTCCTTGATGTCGTTATTTTCGTCAGCCATGATTGCTACTGAGAAATTAAAAAAACACTAAATATTAGAATAAGCAAGTGGAAATTAGGGCTACTACTTCAGGGCGATAACCGCGGCGCAAGGATAACAAAGCTTATAGATCAGAAACTTCGATTCAAAATTCAATTTGATTATACCAAATAATAAATCTATGCCAAGGCTTCACAATAGAACTTTGAGGTCTATCAATCTATTCGCATGATTTCTCCAAATACGACTTAAAAACTTTGAGATCAACAGAAGGAATTCGAGAAGGATTCAAAGGAAACTGACCAAAGGATGTGAAACGGAGATCGGTTACTAACGTGGAATCTGAGAGAGAGAGCACGCGGCGCAGGGGAAGGAAGTGGGAAAACTAGAGGTAAGGGTTTCTGATACGGTCGCTAGTTTTGTCGCGATTAAGAAGAAAAAGCCTCTGTCTGACTCAGAGGCTTTCAATAGATATACAGAGATGGAAACAATGTGGATAGTGTATCAAACGCAAAAGGAAAAGGAAAACAATTCTTATTTATTTATTCAAAATTGCATGTTATACGTACTTCTTTTTTGGTATGATGTTATAAAATACTTTTGTTATAAAACACAAACAATTTCAGTGATGATATATCAAATCGAAATTAAAAATTTAGTAGATCAGCTAACTCCTATGAAACTCTTGATATTGATTTCTAACAGATGTCTATAAGTTTTCATTACCAGATTTGGTGTTTTTTCTTTTTACATAATTTTTGTATTAGACTAAGAGCGGTCTAAGTGACATATGTATTGGTAGGGCTGGGCACAAGTACTTGATATTTATTCAAAACCCACTACTTGCCCCGTACTTTCCCCGTATTTGCCCCGTACTTGCCCTGTAAAGGCAAGTAACAAGTCGCTTTTATAAATTACTTGCAAGTACAAGGCAAGTATCAAGTCTTAAAAAAAAATCATTACCCGCCTTGTTATGACCCGCCTTGTACAAATATTTGACATTTATGAAAATTTTGTATTTTTTTCTATATATAATGAAAAAATAAAGTTTTTTTCTTGTAAATAAGAGATCCATTGTCATTAATTGACAACAATAAGAGTTTTTAAAAACCTACATTATAAATATGAACAAAAATTAATGGGCTTTTTCTAATTATAGCCCAAAATTGTGAAATATTTACTTTTATTTTTGTGTTTTTACAAGTCACAAGGCAAGGCAAGTACTCGCAAGTAATGAAAATATGAACAAGTACTTGAAAGGAGCAAGTACTTGACAAGGCAAGGTAAGGCAAGTCGCAAGGCGAAATTTCAAGGCAAGGCAAGTCGCAAGTACACTGAAAATAGCAAGTACTTGCCCCGTACCCACCCCTATGTATTAGTGTTTTGGTTTCAATAAAGCACACTATATTTTGTTGTATATAAATGCACATTATAAATCCAAATAATTTAAATAATTTCTACTTCAATTAGTCTTTCAAAAAAATGAAAAGAAAATTTTGAATAATTTACGAATAACATGAAAAAACGAATACGATGAAATGATGAGAGATTAGAATTACTATACATTGTTATTTCTAGAGTTATAAGTTGCAATGTAGAGATTCGGAGTATATAGTACTGGTAACATATTGTATGCTTTTAAAATTGTACAATGCACTTTAATCTAATCAGTTTCAGGAAATGAAATTATATCTACATGCGATTTGTTTCCTTAAATAAAACCATACGAATTTAAAACATATCTATGTTGATAAAAAACTAGTTTGAATATATTTTTTTCTAAATGAAGATGGGAATACTTATCAACTATTACAAAAATAAATAAAAGAGAAAAAAGAACATTTTGTAGATATTCCCATCCAGCAATATATTTCTTAAAAAAAGTTACTCAAACCTGTGAATATAATTAAGGCTAAATCTGATAAAAACCAAAATGTCACACAGTGCGTTAAAAGGAAAGGAACTTCGTGTTGACCACAGTCCTCTCTTTCCCTCCTAATTCCTTAGGGTTCCTCAATTTCCTTTTCCACCTCAACACAACCTTACTTGTCTCTTCTCTCCAATCTTTCTCTCTACGTTTTGTTCCACTTGAAAGATAAAAATACCTTTTACGTTGATTGCAAAAAGCATAAAAGCCCATTTATGGGTTTCTCATTGATATCCAGATTCTAGCCTCCAATTCGGCAAATTCTCCACAAAAAACCCTAATTTCTCGTAATCTGAGCTGTTTGCTTTGCTCTGGCTGATCTGGGAGTGTATTGCGTCGAGGCTTGCTCAAGTGTTGGCAATGTCTGATGATATGGTGATGCATTTCACCTCGAATTCTTCCAATCAGTCCGATCACTCTCTTCCCGACAAAATCGCCAAGCTCGAGGCCCGCTTGACCGGCAAATCCGCCTCGTCCGCGAAGCCACAGCAGCAGCTCGCCGCCTGGTCATCTGCTTCCGCCGCTGTCAAAGTCGTAGCTTCCACACCGGCGGGATTTTCGGAGGCCTCTATCAGTGATTCCGACGACGAGGTAAACAATTATTCAAATTTATGATTTTCGTGCTTGTTAGAGCTGGAATTGTGGTTTATTGCCAGAATTCACCGCTTGTTGCTAATGTCCTTATCCTCTAGCTTATTGTATTGATTGATTTGTGGGTTTGTGCCTGAGAAAATTTCGATCAAAGGTCTTATGCAATGCTGGCTACATATTCTGACATATAGCATGTAGGTGTACCATGGAATTGCAGATTATTCTCATATCTTAGATTCGTTTTTACTGTCTCAGGATACAGGAGATTTCCTAATCCGAGCCAATACCAAAAAGCGCCAGAAAGTTGAAGATTTTAACAACTCCAGTGTTGTTGATCATGTTGAGGTACTGACATTTCGTTCTTTTCGCCCCTTATCTGGTTCATGTTTCTTTTAAATGAAACTCTGGTGTATGTTTGTACAAAGTTCTATGTGATATTGAAACAACTTGTCATGATGCTAATCTTAACTCGTTTTGAATTGAAGCCCCAAGAAGCGGCATATGATGGAAGGAAAAGTGATGCTGAGGCCAAGTCAGGCCCTGATGTAAACAAGAAGAAACAAGGTCGAGGCCGGGCTTCATCAACTGGCAGAGGGCGTGGTTCTAGAACTAGTAACGATGTGACAAAATCTCAGGTTTTGGCTGCACCAGTATCAGCTGCAAATTGTCAACTGGATGCCTCTGATCAAAAGGTTTGTGTTGTTTACTTCATATGATCTTGGATGCAACCACTCTTCCTCATCATCGAGGAGTTATAAATATTAGATGTAATTTCATTGACGAATTCGTGGACTTTAGTTTTATGTTCTTAACTGAAGTAAAACCTTCTGTTTGGCCTATAGGGAACAAAATTTAGCAGGGCAAGAAAGAATTTAGATACCATTTCCCATTTTGTTGAAGAGAAAATCTAGATTCTAGATTTGCATTGATCTTGGCAACCAGACTCAGTTATCAGTGATATTTCTGCATTTGTATTCTTCAGGATTTTAGGCCTGATGGACAGCTCAGGAATGGTGAAAGCTTTCTTCGGGATGTAAGTTTCTCCTATTATTTCACTTACTCTGTAATACTTCCTGCCTAGAATATGTAATAGTCTCATCGTCTATTACTTATCTGCATCTCCTAAGCTTGTTAGAATAAGTGAATGTGATTGGTATAAATGTTTATTCTCAACCCTTTTTGATTCACTATTTTCTTCTCTGTTTATAAATCAGGAAGATGTGTCATCTTTACGTGCAAAAATTGCTGTGCTGGAGGAGGAATTGAGTAAATCTCGACAAGATTCTTCTGAGTATCACAACCTTTCTCGGAAACTTGAGAATGTAATGTGTGAATGCCTTTTGTTTTTAGCCAATCCTGGTTATGCTGTTACCATTTTTGCCTATATCTATTCCACTGATAATCGTAATCATGATCTATGCAGGAGTTAAAAGATCTAAAAGAACAGGAACAACAGGGGAAGCAAAAGGTGGATAAATTTAATTGTTTCTGTGACTCAGTAATGGTTTTTTTGAAAAGTCTTATTATCTTTGCTTTAATGTACCACCTCGTATGGCATTGTTAATTTTGGTCTTATCAATGTTTCTAGGAGAATCTTAGAGCAAGTGATCATTTTTTTCCCATAAGAAGTATGGTTGTTTATCCTGAGAAAAGGCAAATCATTGAAAGTCTCCTGATTTTCTTAGAATGCTCGCTAGATCTAATGATGCCCTTGCTGCTAGAGAACTGAATATCTGTGAAGAATTGGATCTTGTAACTGTCTATGTCACATCTATGTTCCATTCACAGTGAGCTCTTTTCGTAAATCATGGATTAGTATTCTCTAAGTAACAGGCAATCTATGGCGGATGAGATCAATTTTTAGGTGCATTAGCAACTTTTGCACACCCTCTAGAAATATTCTTAGTGAAGAAACTATTAATGTCTCTCGCTACTTCTCTGTATTTTTCAACAACCTCTGAACCTATTCTTTTTCATGTTGCAGACAACGAAAGTAATATCTGACCTTCTCATATCTGTTTCCAAAACTGAGAGACAAGAAGCAAGAACGAAAGTCAGACATGATTCTTTGCGATTAGGCACTGTTGGTGTGCTCAGGTCTGCTATAATGTTTTCATATGAGTTCTAATGGTGTTAGTATATGGTTAAGTGGGAAGTAAATGAAAACATGTATAGCATTTTTTTTTTTTTTTTGCTTTTTTAGTAAAATCATTAAACCATCTCGACGATTGTTTTTGATAGGAGTTAATCTATAACCCGTAGCTCAGAAATGTTTTTGCTAGGTTACGAAGTTATTTCCTTGACTTTGTGATTTAAAGTTCAATCTATCAGCTGAGGCTATTTTGGTGATTTCAGGACGGGAACGATCATAGCTGAGGCATGGGAAGATGGACAAATGTTGAAAGATCTGAATGCTCAACTCGTAAGTTAAGCTGTATAGCAAGATAATTTTATCAAACAACATCAGTAATTCCTCTAGTACCTGTTTTAATTTTTCTATAAAATTTGCAATGAGAAGAGACAATTGCTGGAAACAAAGGAGATTATTGAGAGACAGAGAAAGTTCCTAAAGAAACGACAGAATGGTGGTATGTTTCCCCAATTCTTCTTCCCTTTTCAGTCAATCCACGATCTTATGTAATGTATGCTGTCTTTTTTCCTTGGGATAATTGTAATGATGTCAGCACCCTTGGCTTTTCCAATTGCTTGTAGATAAGAGTGATGGGACTGAAACAGAATCTCAGGAGGAAGATATCATCCCCGATGAGATTTACAAGTCTCGGCTTGCTAGTATAAAGCGGGTATGTTCCTCCTTATGCATCATCTCGGTTTCTTATGTCCTAAGGTTGATTGGTTTCTGATTTCTTATCATACATCTATTGGTTTTACTTTTCAGGAGGAGGAAGCAGTTTTGCGTGAGAGAGATAGGTATGAATTGGAGAAGGGGCTGCTTATGAAGGAGATGAAGCGCATACGAGATGAAGATGGTTCTCGTTTCAACAATTTCCCAGTTTTGCATGGCCGATATGCTCTTCTAAATCTTCTTGGTAAAGGCGGATTTAGCGAAGTCTATAAGGTCAGAACATTGATAGATGCATATGAGAAGTATAATTGAGCTATTCATGTGAGAAGTATTCACAGTAGTTTGATGTTACGGATTTTGAGCAGGCATATGATTTGGTGAATCATAGATATGTTGCGTGCAAGCTTCATGGTTTAAATGCTCAGTGGAGTGAAGAAAAGAAGCAAAGTTACATCCGACATGCCATGAGGGAATATGATATCCATAAAGATCTTGTGCATCACCACATTGTCCGGCTTTGGGATAAATTCAGAATCGACATGGATACATTCTGCACAGTTCTGGAATATTGCAGTGGTAAACCAGAATTCTCTGATCTCTTTGTTGGTAAACGAAGGATTTGTCTGTGTCGTGCAGCTCTCATTTGTATGTTTTGAATTTCGATTGCAGGAAAAGACCTTGATGTGGTTTTAAAGGCAACACCTAATCTTCCTGAGAAAGAAGCGAGGATTATCATTGTACAAATAGTTCAAGGCCTTTTATATCTGAACAAAAGATCACAGAAGATAATCCACTATGATCTCAAGCCAGGGAACGTTCTGTTTGATGAGTTTGGAGTAGCAAAAGTGACTGACTTTGGTCTTAGCAAGATAGTGGAAGACAATGATGGTTCTCAAGGAATGGAACTTACATCACAGGGAGCTGGAACATACTGGTGAGCAATCATTACTTGATATGCTCTTTTTTTTATAACCCTCTTCTACTTGCTGACAAGCTAACAAGGCTCAAAATCTGAATTTTCAGGTACTTGCCCCCAGAATGTTTTGACCTTAGCAGAACTCCTATGATCTCATCAAAGGTTAGTGGTTGGTCAGTGATGTGTTAATCAGATTGTGTTAGAAGTTTTGCTGTACTAAACTGTGGTCAAATTGCAGGTTGATGTATGGTCGGTTGGTGTTCTGTTTTACCAAATGGTGTTTAGAAAGCGACCCTTTGGACATGACCAAAGCCAAGAACGGATACTGCGAGAAGAGACAATCGTTAATGCCAGAAAAGTTGAGTTCCCAGCAAAACCTGCCATCTCGAATGAAGCAAAGGTAAATTAGCTGTGCCGGTCTTATTAAGTTAAGTATAGAACTGTATCTCCATGGTCACTCACTGTTGCATTTTTCTGCAGGAATTGATTCGACGGTGTCTAACTTATAACCAAGCAGATAGGCCTGATGTTCTAACTCTGGCACAGGATCCATATCTTTCCTACACTAAGAAATGAGAGAGTGTAGTCTTCACCAAACAAACCAGAGATGCTAAAGGACCAGGTCCTAGAATATTTTTCGTTTTTGTATAGCTTATAAAGTTTCTTTTGTTTGTTTAAATCGTTTATTCCCCGGCCCCTTGAACCAAATTAATTTCGGGTGAATTTATATTCTTCTGTCTTCCTTCAGTTATGTAACATTTTATGTATATTCTTCAATCTTCATGTCTTTGAATAGAACATAATCTGAAAGTTAAGACAGGCTCCAATTCATTCCACTGTGTCTGCTTCTCAAGTCATAAGGCAAGATAAAATAAATCCGAATGTAGACTAAATAAACCAAGTGTAAACCAAGACATAACCGGAAAACGGTACAAAACTGAGACCATTGGCTTGCAAGCAATTACTCCAAGACAAAAGTCTACTTATCCTCTCATACAACCCAAAAACTCACACTTGCTTCTTCTTTTTCTTCCATGGCTTTATCCTTTGCTTCTTCAAGTAGATTCTCCAAGATGCAATCAGGGGTATGGTACAGTGGATCCTTCAGGCCACGAGTCACCACCGTGAGATGCTGTGAAACCGGAAAAGAGACTCCGCGACCAAAATCGAAGCTCCAAGTGGGATCGCCAATCATAATCGTGGAAGTCCCCAAAGTTATAAAAACGGCAGCTTCAATGCCTTGTCTTAGGGCTAACGCTGGCTTGGTCAAGCTTGGCGATGTTGGAAGGTTTGTTTTCTTGTGCATCTAATCCAAATTCCCATTTCATTCATAACCGTGTAATTTTTATAACAGAACTTAAGACTAATCCCAAGATTCATAGAAAAAATGGTGTTTTCTTGCCAGACAACACGTCTACAGTGTCTGTTCTTGTGTACACATCGTGTTGTAACCATTGTTTTTCCCTCACGGGTTAATTTTAGAATCTGAATGCATCAAGTGAATTCCGTTACGTTAGAATAGATAATTAGCAACATTATAGTCTGAAAAATGCATCCAATCTCATATATATATTATTGATTAACATAACTCAAACATTCGAGCTCTAAAGAGATTCCTCATTACATGATCAATTCATCTTTGGCTTGAACAATTTTATTCACTTAACTAATCTATATTCATTTTGTGAAAATATCAATCAATTTATGGTTTTTATGTGTTGCAGAATCGTGTCGAGGAAACCAAAGGACTTGTGGGCAGTTCGACTCTCCATTGGAACGTATCTTTTAGATGGTAAATATTTCAAAGCTTTGGAGCTCGAGGAAGAAGAAGCTAGTGATTGAGATTATGCCACGTAATTTTCAGATGTAATTTTGTAAGTAGTACTATTTTTAAAAATATTGCTAGTAAGAAAAAGGACAATTCTAATCCAAAATCCAAGTACCGAACCCGATCCGAAATTTTGAATATGCATTTTTTTCTCAACATTTCTCATGGCGCGAGAATCAAAGCTGTTTAATTTGGCTTTGTAACTAACCCGAACCCAAACGGGTACAACGGGTCGTAATGCGGGTCGCCCACGTTCATCGGCAACTGATCCACTGTCCTAAACCACGTCCGAGCCAACTTCCCGGTGAATCCATAATCTCCGAAGACAACATCAGCCACTCCCTGACCTTCCGTTCCCGGCAGCCACGCCGCCACGAGAGCGTCGATGCTCGAGATGTACGGCTGCATCACCACCGGACGCCCCGACACAACCACCACCACACATTTCACCGATCCGCAAACGTTTCCGATTGTGCTCGGACCTGGTTCCGCTATGGTTAAATTCGTGCTGTCTCCGAATCGCTCCGCGTACGGCGTCTCTCCGACGACCACGATTGCGTAATCGAACCCGCCGAACTTGACGAAATTGGCGTCGGGATTCTGATCGTAAACGACTTTTGTCGTCGGATCCACCGTGTTGTTCACTGCGGCGAGGATCGTTGTACCTGCAAAAATTCAATCTCAAATCGGTAACGCTCTTCCGAAAAATCCCAGCTTTCATTAGATTGCTCTGAATTCTGAAACTTCTTGTTGCCTATTGGTATGAAATTGATAGTCTCGAATGATCTTAGCATTTCAATTTTGGGGATTTGAGATACCCAAATGGTCTCGTCTTCTGATGATGAAGAAGAGATGATTTGATTGGAATGCATTTAGAGGAAAAGGTGTGTGTACCAATGGTGAGATTGTTGGCATTGAGTCCTTGCCAAGTGATAGTCCAGCCACCACATTGGTATCCCAAGTTATCAGCGTGTGTTCCTGCGACAAGGATCTTGTTGGCTTTCTTTGGAAGAGGAAGCAATGGCTTATCTGCATTTTCACCATTCTTCAACAACACTACAGACTTCCTCACTGCTTCCCTTGCCACTTCCCTGTGTTCCTGTTGAAGGGTGCAATGTAAAAGCTGGGCTCTTTATCTTAAAGCTGGTGCTTTTTTTTATCTTAAGTCTTTGAAAATTTACAGACCTTACAACCGAGTTTGTTGGCTAAGCTATGATCAGCCATGGGAGCCTCAAAGAGCCCCATTGTGAATTTGACTCTCATGATTCTCTCCACAGCATCGTCGATTCTGCTCATCGGGATGAGGTTTCTCTTCACCTGACTGGTTATGTCTTCGATTAGCTCGGTCAAGTTTGATGAACCCATGAACTGCACCACAAGATCTTAATCACATCAAGTGACAGCAAGTTTTGTTATATCAAAGAACCGTTTTGAGACACTGACCATATCGAGTCCAGCAGTGATAGCAGCATGAACAGAGTGTGAATAGTTAGCATGAATAGGCGTGGTGATCTGATCAACACCTAGAAAATCCGATATGACAATGCCCTGCAAACAGATTTTAAATCTCTCTTACTCAAGTGACTACTACTAGATGCTCTGCTTAAGCCGGATTGTTATAGTTACCTTGAACTTGAGCTTGTTCTTGAGGAAACCTGTGATAAGTTTCTTATTGGCGTGCATTTTCAACCCGTTCAAGGACGAGTAGGACACCATAACTGTTGCAACGCCCTTGTTTACAGCATCGTAATAAGCCGGCATGTGAATGTCGAGCAGACCATTTGAATTAACAACCGTGTCGTTTGCATTCATCCCTCTCAATGTACCTCCATCTCCAACAAAGTGTTTAGCACACGCTGCAACTTTTGTCCTGTAAGTTTTCTATTAGTTCAATATTCAACTCCATGATGAATCTTGACTTTGACTCATCAAAGTTTTACTTACTTTCCAGCGACGAAAGGAACGCCCTTTTGACCTGTGGGAAGATCACCTTGCAAGCCAGGTATGATCTCAGTCATCTGTTGAACTATTCTGTGATCCTCACTGTAGCTCTCGTAGCATCTTCCCCATCTAGGGTCCCTACACACCTGTATTCATAAGTGATTAATCACAAGTACAACAACTATATGTTTCCGCTTTGGTGCAGGTCATATTTTACTTACTGCAATACATGGAGCAAAGACGTATTGGATTCCCGTTGCTCTGACTTCAAGCGCAGTTGCTTCGCCAATCCTCTTCACAAGGCCAGGATCCCTAATAGATGCATACAACAGTAAGGAAACAATGTTTAACATTTGGAAATTGGATTCTCTATATGGAACTTGCCTGGTGACTCCGAGGCCTATGTTATGAGGGAAAATGGTGGCGTTGTAAGCGTTGTTGTGGCCATGAACAGCATCGATCCCGTAGATAATGGGAATCCCTAAGCGTGTCGAAAGAGCCGCCTTTTGCATCTCATTCACCATTTCCATCCAAGCTTCAGGACTTGCATTTGGCGCTGGCACGCTCCCTCCACCGCTAAAAGCACTCCCTGCACACATAACTCTGAAACATTTGAGTATTCGTGTAGGTTTGCAACAATGTTCTGAAAGGTACTGAATCGTACCGATGAAGTGGTTTTTAATGACTTCGGTTGTGGCATTGGCGCGTTCCACCTGAATCATCTGTCCGATTTTCTCTTCAAGAGTCATGTGGCTCATCAGGTTCTTGATCCTGACTTCTAATGGCTCCTTTGGGTCCTTATACTTGGCGTTCTCAAGTGGTTCTTTATTAGCTGACACGGCATAGCAGAGCAGAAGAAGCCCTAACGTATGTAGCAAGTAGCTCAAACTCTGCATCTTTGCTTCTCTCCTTCACACTCGACACCTGCTTATGATGAGTAACCAGTAAAATAGTTCAAGATTGATTATTGGTTAACCATTTGAGAAGGAGAAGACCAAAAGCGATATGATGACATTGGCGACGACAACGATGAGGATGATGTATATTACACTATGTTTTCGAGTGAGACAGGCACGATCAGAGGTTGAGATTTTGTTGTTTCGACTGAGACAGTAACAAGAGGCTGAGATTTTGTCGTTTATCTTTGTATTTGTGTTGTTACGTTTGTGAGATGATTATATGCAGAGACGAGATAGACAGTTCCGTGACTAGAAACAACATCAAAAGCAAATTTGATTCTATTCCTTTTCGTAAATAATACAATAAGATCTTAGCAAAAGTGTATTATAAACCAAATATATTTTCGAAAGATAACATATAAATTCAGATCGGATCAGAGCCTCATAAATTCAGCATTTTTACGAAATAAACCAAAGTACCAATCACAAAAACCCGGATTATAAGCCGGTTAGAGTTGAGAAACCTACTTATTGATTCGGTTAACATAACCGGTTAGAGTCAAAGCTCACAAAAGAAACCCTGCACACAGCATTGTCTAAGGCTTATAAACATATAAGAGGACTAAGAATCAGCAGAGCCTAGTCTCGAAGTTGAGAGTGATGCCCATACTGAAAAGCTCCTGGCACAGAAGCTTAGCTCCATAAGGCACATAGACCCTAACCACATGGTCCGGAGACTTGCACAGTCTACAATACGGCCCTCTGATCTTTCTCCCACTGCTTCCGCTTCCTGACCACTCTATCACACTTGCAGCGTTTTGACAGTTCCTGCAGATGTGCATCTGTGAAGAATCACTTAGCGTGAAGAGACGCTCGTGCAAGTTTGCGGATGCACCGTGAGCTATTAGGCAGTCTCGCTCCATCTCTCCAAACTTGATTCCGCCGAACCGCTTCCTGTCTGCAACTGGCTGGCGTGTGAGCGGGTGGACTGGTCCGGTGTTCCTGAACTTGACTTTGTCCTCTGACATGTGGACAAGTCGCTGGTAGAAAGTTGGCCCCATGAATATGAGTGAACGCATCATCTCTCCAGATCTACCATTGTAGACCCTTTCATTTCCCCATCTTGAAAATCCAGCCCTGGCCACAAATATTCACAATCGGTGATGAATCAGGAGTCAAGAATCAACAATAGTCTAAGAAACAGGTTCAAGGTCAGCAATTTGTACATCAGCAATTTTTACTCCCTAGGAAGCAAATGTCAAACAGTTATAGACTTATAGCATATCAGATATAACATTAAGACTTGTACTGTTTCATCCTTTTTCAATATTCCGTTTACGTTGCTAAAACCAAGTTGACAGTGTGAAGAGGGTACCTGTGAAGCTGGTCGGTGATTTCACTAATACTCGGAGTGGAGAAAGGAGTGGCATGGCGTGTCAGCTTAGTGTATGCAGCAGAGCTGCCCTCCTTCTTTTGGATAGGACAAGCTATACCTTTGGCGAGAGCAGCCTCCAAGAGTTGGCCCGGTGTTTGCCTTGAAGGGAAAGCGTGCGGGTTTATCACGATATCAGGAACTATGCCTTGGATCGTGAAAGGAAAATTCTCCTGTTCCTCTATATATCCTAGAACACCCTTCTGGCCATGCATGCTGGAAAACTTATCTCCAAGACATGGAGAACGAACCTGCAAAGATGTAAAATACAAATCAATGGAACATTAGACTAACTGAAAAGGATCTGTTAGCTCTCATAAGTATGATCTGGAAGACTGGAGCTTACCTGTCTCAGAGAAACCGTAGCAAAATTCTTCCCATCATCATTAGATGATAATACTACTTTTTGCACAATCCCTCTCTCAGTGTGCTTGAGTTTAGTACTATGATCAGCCCCGGATTCGGTACATTTTCCAATGACAATGTCACCACTGTGCATATTAGCACCAACATAAGGGAAGCCATCATCATCAAGGCTGTCAACTCTGCCAATTGTGCTCTGTGTCTTTCCAAACTGCACAAGCTCATCCATCTTCTTCCTTTTCTCCGAGTCTCGGCTGTCAACCTCTGCTTTATAGCTTCTAATCTGCTCTGAACGGAACATACCACGTTCTAATGAAGCCTTGTTCATCACGATGGAATCCTCTTGGTTGTACCCAAGGTGAACGTTCACAGCAACTATGGCGTTCTGGCCATTAAACAAAAAGTCTTTTTGAAGACATTCCGACGCCAGCGTCTTGAAAAGAGGCTTCTGGGGATAGAATAGCTGCTGGGACAGCGTATCACAGCGGCTGTTAGGGTTTGTTGATGAGAAACCAATAGCTTGTTGGCAATGCTTCTGGGACTGGTAGAGAACCCTCCTAGCATGATCGTGATTTGCAAATGGAACTATTGCACAACTCACACCCAACAGTAAAGACAGGTCCAACTCGCAATGCGTGTAACTCTTTGGTTCCTTCAGAATCTGTTTGATTCCCCATGCAGCTGAACAGTCTTCTTCTTCCTCAATCCCAACAAGCTCGAGAATCCCTTGGTCGAGAAGATGCTCAAACGAGTACTGTGATGGTTTAGTACTCTGCTTCAACTTGTGGAGATTTTCCACAACTAAGAGAGGCCGGAGTAATCTGCCAGCGTCAGTGAAAATCCTCACCTCGTTGTTGTCTTTATCGTGCTTGATTTCCATCTGCAAAGAACGTTGTTATATGTACAATGATATACAACGACATAGAGACATTTGTGAAGCAGAATAAAATCCAAAGTAACAAAGAAACTTGTTGACATAGAAGATACCTGACGGGGTAATTCACTTTGACGTCGCCTGCTTTTTAACTCTGCAACAAAGTATTCAGAATCTGATGATACTCCAACCCAGTCTCCATTAATAAGAACTTTATGTTTGCCACACAGGTTTGTGCTAGTATCGTCCACTAGCTCTTCCATTCCACAGTCATAGAGCTTTTCCACCACAGGCTCCAAAACATGAGTGCTAACAAGTCCAAGGAGAGACATGTTCTTCACCAGACCACAGTTTTCGCCATCTGGAGTTGACAAAAAGCATACTCTTCCCCAGTGAGAGGGATGCCTGTGGCCAACATCACAAACAATGCAGTCATAGTTAGTTTTTTAAAGCCTTAAGTGCAATGTTAAGTTTCCAACACTGATAAATCTCATTGTCGAAATTTTCTTAATGGCAGTATCATCTATACACTATAGGACTCTGTAGGATTCAGTGGTCACCATTACAATCTAAATGTAATAGATTAACATGAATAACTGATAAGACAGACTGAAGACATGTAAAGTTGAGTAATGCAGACCATACAGCAATCTTTTAGCACGTGTGATATAATTCAAACAAAGAGGAGGTGGAAATTTCACTTACGGATATCTAGCATCTCCAACCTTGCCAGTATACAGGACTTGCTGTCGCGTTCTCCTCAGATCAATCAGAGTCTGCAATGGATTGGCACGACCCAGATTTGCTACAACGCCATGAACCCTTTCCATCTTCCTGAAAGGATGACACCATTGTCCAGTGGAGAAGGCTCTACTAAGCCCATTTGTGATAATGGAAGCATCCATATAATGGTCGATCGGCTTCAAATCACCATCGCCTGTGAGGTGTCGCTGCATGGCCTTGGTCATGGCTCTTCTAGCATGTGACAGATGCGCCCTTATCTCCCTCTCTAGCAGTTCTCCAGCTAGCTCTATCCTCTTGTTCCTAAAGCTATCTCTATTCTCACATTGTCGTTTCCCAGCATATGCATTCAGAAGACACTTCACCATATAGCCCATGAAACGTGCTTTCTGTTTCAAACTTTTGAGGCCTGGAAACAAGTACATCCGCAAGCACTCAGCCACACTTTCGCCGGGTGGGAATTTAGTGCTCTTTATCTGCTCTTCAACATATTCCATAGCATTTTTCCCATAGCGAAAGGCTTCGCAAACCGCATCAGATTCGTGGATAGAAGCTACAAGACTGTTGGTAATGCTTGCATCATCACCGTCAAATGCAATGAGATCCATAGCCTCTTTGTCTGATGAAACTCCCAGCGCAAAGAATAGGATCCAGACAGGGATCTCAGTCGACAGGAAGTACACTGTCAGTACTTTCTCCCTTCTCTTGTAGTCTTCTGATTTCTGATCCTCTGTGAGACGTACAATGAATCTGTTCCTTTTGTTTTCGGACCTGAAGGAGACTGTCCATGGTGAATTAGAAATCCACATTCTCGTTATGCACATCTGTTCTTGAGCTATGAAGACCTGTAAAACACAATACATTCATGTTAGGAACTTGTATGATAGCTTCAGCTTGACAGTATACATTTGAAAGAGAAAAACTAAATTTCCAATGTCAATAGTGAAACAGATTAGGCAAACAAGTGTGAAGCATACATAGAGATTCATGTGAAGAACTCATAATCCAGCCACTAAGCTATATAGTAAATCAGTTCACAATAGAAATCCCATGACAGTGGATATACAAGAAGTTGCCAAACTACTGTAACTCACCTTCTCAGCTCCCTTAATCACAAAATATCCACCCTGGTCAAAGGCACAATCCCCCTTTTTGTAGTTTTCCTCCTTATTCCCTTTCTCGCCTGAGTTGCAAAGGACAGATTTCACCATCACTGGAATCCTACCAATTGGAATGTCCTGCTTTTTGACATCTAATATCTGCTTCTCGACATAATCGTCTCGCCCTGTCTTGAATTTGTCGCTTTTAACAACCTTTTTGATGAACACCTAGTCAATTTACAAAGCGGAGAGACAGTTAAGACGAATATATAATCTTCAACAAGAATAAGATACAAGGACAGCAAAACAGAAACTTAAGCATTCCATACAAGCACAAAGCACACAATTAAACAATAAATAACCCCAAGATGTTGCCTTTTATATTCCATTGCATATGTTATTTAACACTCTAAGACTACATAGACACGAATCAGTATGCAGCTATTGCAAAAATGTTGCCTTTATTGAGTATTCAAGCAAATGGAATCATCATCCATCAATTCAAGACAATTTACTTCACTTGAACAAAGAGTTTGTAAGTTTCCTTACCTCAACTTGGACGTTTACAGTCATCCGAGCAGAGTAGGTCATGTTCTGAAGCCTGGCATGCCATGGGAGTAACTGAAGCTCCTTTCCACCGGAAAAGAATGAGGGCTTCTCCACGCTGACTTCCCCGAACTTCACCGTTGCGTATCTCCAATCCTGAAGAACCTTATCGTGGTCCTTGTTCTTCGTTGGATCAAAAGACGGCTCCACGACCATCTCCCCGAATGAATCAAACACCTTCTGAAGCCCGTGTTCGATGAAGAAGTTGTAGGAATTGAGCTGATGACTTACAAGTCCATACTCTTCAAAGAAAGATGTTGAAGCTTTTCTGCAGAAATTCTGGAGAAACTTTTCTCCTAGCTCAGAGAGATCGATCTCGTCGATGTCCATGTCGTTTATGTCCATCTCCACACACTGTCACAAACGGAAACAGAAACCCACACCAAGACACAGACTTTATATGAAAAATCATCAACAACGGGCAAATGCATGTTTCGACAACGAAACTGCTAATCAAGACCAAAACTTTCTTCAAAAATCGGGACCGTAGAAGCTAGAAACCGTAGACTAAAGCATATTTCTTTCGAATTTCAAACTTAAAAGCAGAATCAAAGCGTAACCCTTAAAATGGGTACCTGGGTTGCTTCAGACGGAAACGATGAGGTGAAACGGCGGTGGCTGGTGAGAGAAGCGTAAACGTCGTCGGAAAATTGCTGATAGATGCGGAGAATCGCAGCTAGCAGACGCAAAAGCGTAATTCCAAAGGTCACACCTTTTTCAAAGCAGTCGACGAGAGGAGTGAAGAAGAAAGACTGTCGTTTGTGCGCTAAGTTGAATCAAGCTACAGGGGTATTTCCGTCAATTGGACTAGTAACTTCCATTTTCAGAAACATTAGCTGTTGCACACACACACACACAAAAAAGATAACTTTAAGCTTGCAATTTCAAAAATTTCAGAGTTTTTCTGAAAAAGAATGTAGTGAATACAACAAAAGTTGGCAGATTTGCAAAAACCGGAGAGAATATTATACAGATTCTCAATGACAAATAACAGAATTTGGTTCAAAACATGGATGCTTATAACACTAGTTTTTGTAGACAAAGCCTCAACATTAACATAAGCAAAACAAAAACCCACAAAATTGTTCGTTGGGTCCTTACAATATCATTCCTTTTCTTGCTCAATCACTAAACTTATTGCCTCCGGAACCATAGAGGAAGAAAGAGTCTACAATTAGTATGCTTTTGTGGTCAACCCGAAACCGAACGGGTACAAGGGGTCGTAATGCCGATCGCCAACATTCATCGGTAGCTGCTTCACAGACTTGAACCACGTCCGAGCCAACTTCCCCGTGAACCCATAATCACCAAACAGAGCATCAGCCACTCCTTGACCTTCCGTTCCCGGAAGCCAAGCCGCCACGAGGGCATCAACGGTCGAGACATAAGGCTGGATCACCACTGGACGGCCAGAGACAACAACCACCACACACTTCACTGACCCGCACACGTTCCCTATCGTGCTTGGACCAGGTTCACTTATGGTCAGGTTTGTGCTGTCCCCAAACATTTCAGCATAAGGCGGCTCCCCAACCACCACAATGGCGTAGTCAAATTTGCCCGACTTCACGAAGTTCGCATCGGGGTTTTGGCTGTAGACGACTTGTGTCCCTGGAGCCACAGTATTCTTCACAGCCGTGAGGATAGTTGTACCTGTGCAATATAAAACCAAACTCAAGTTTATACATGATACTGTAACATGACATGGTATTAACATATTAAACCAAAAGAGGAGAAAGAGGAGTTTATGAGTAAAGATACCGATGGTGTGGTCGTTGCCGTTAAGGCCTTGCCAGGTGATGGTCCAGCCACCACATTGATATGCCAAGTTATCAGCGTGTGTTCCCGCCACAAGGATCTTCCCTGTTTTCTTAGGCAGCGGAAGCAACGGTTTAGCGCCTGTCTTACCGTTCTTGAGCAGCACTAGAGATTTCCTCACTGCTTCACGAGCTAGTTCTCTGTGTTCCTGTCGACATTGCAGAAGTGTTTCTATTCAGTTTCATGCTAATGATTTTGTAACGATAGGTATGGTGAGTAACAACAGAAGATAAATATATCAGACCTTGCTACCAAGGTGGTTGGCAAAGCTGAGATCAGCCAGTGGCTCTTCAAAGAGTCCCATTGTAAATTTGACCCTTAAGATTCTCTTCACGGCATCATCAATCCTGCTTATCGGAATCAGCTTCTTCTGTATCTGACTGTTGATTTCGTCTATAAACTCGGTGAAGTTGTATGGAACCATGATCTGCATCAGAGAGAGAGGGAGAGAGACACACATCAATCACGTAACTATGCATCGCATACCAAATAAATGAAAATAGAAGCACTTTGGAGACCGACCATGTCAATTCCAGCGCTGATTCCCGCATAGACAGAGTATGAATAGTTAAGATGCGGAGGAGTTGTGATCCTATCAATCCCCTGCCAATCCGAGATGACAAAGCCCTGCACGAAAACAGATACAAGGGCTGTTAGGACTAAAACACAGAAGATTAAACGAGTCCACAGGTATCATTTCTTACTCTGAACTTCAACTTGTTCTTGAGAAAACCCGTGACAAGTTCCTTGTTAGCATGCATTCTCAAACCGTTCCAGGCAGAGTAAGACACCATAACCGTTGCAACACCCTTGTTTACGGCATTGTAATATGCAGGCATGTGAATGCCAAACAGCCCGTTCGAGTCAATCACTGTGTTGTTCTCGTCTATCCCTCTCACTGTACCTCCATCTCCCACAAAGTGCTTAGCACAAGCCGCCACTTTTGTCCTGTGACAGTAAGAAACTCATTCAAGTCAAATACTACTCAGTACTTAATTGAAATGAATCTAGCCAAAACAACAAAATACTAAGTAGCTTTAATGAGACATCAGCCCAAATGTAAAAAAAAAAATATACAAGTGGGACTGTATAGATGAAAGAGACAATAACTTCAAACTGGTCCTACAGTGGCAGAAAATTCAAACCAGGACTCTTTAAGAACCTGTCTGAATCCTATAAATAGAGTTGAAAACAGAGCACATGGATTGGCTAATATCTTATCAAGAAGCTTTTCAACACTCAAGGACCACCACAATTCTAAATAAAATCACGCGCGTGAACACGACTCAAGACATTTCCCCACTTTGATCATCAAGACTCAAACATACATAAGCAACTCAAATCTTAACCAAATCCAGTCGAAAATGAAAGCAACTTAAATAACAACAAAGGTCGTTCCTAGAACGTCTTCAAGAGCCAAAGAGATGTTGCCTTAATTGCACAATTATATAGGTAAATATTACAGGCAAAGTTACTTACTTTCCACCTACAAAGGGAACACCCTTTCTCTTGGTAGGAATGTCTCCTTGCAAACCGGGGATAATCTCAGTCATCTGTTGGACAATTCTGTAATCCTCACTGTAGCTCTCGTAGCATCTTCCCCATCTCGGATCTCTGCAAACCTGTCAAAAGCATAAATACAGTATTTAGCAGGCACCTTCCAAGATAAGACTACCTTCATAAATACAGTGTTAGCTTCATTATACTTACTGCAATACACGGTGCAAAGGCATATGGGATTCCTGTCGCTCTAACTTCAAGAGCAGTTGCTTCCCCAATCCTCCTCAGAAGCTTAGGGTCCCTGAAACACACAGAACAAAGATTTTAAATCCCATAGTCTTGAAAAACTCAATTCAACATAGTCATACATAAGCAGTCAAGGCCTTGTTGGAGAAGCTTGCCTGGTGACTCCAAGTCCAACATTGTGAGGGAAAATGGTGGCGCCGTAGACATTGTTGTGACCATGAACAGCATCAATCCCATAGATCATTGGGATTCCAAGGCGTGTCGAAAGAGAAGCCTTTTGGATCTCATTGACCATGTTCACCCAAGTCTCAGGAGTCGCCTTTTCAGAAGGCACACTTCCTCCACCACTCAACACACTCCCTATATGTATACAAAACCCCAAAATGTCAACTCTTTTAGACATTACCTCGAACACTTGACAGACTTATTTCCTCAGATTTCTTTCTGCTTACCGATGAAGTATTTCTTCATGACTTCAGGTGTAGCGACGCTGCGTTCGATCTGAACCATTTGGCCAATCTTCTCTTGGAGAGTCATGCGGTTCATCAAGTCCCTGATTCTTGCACCCAAAGGCTGTTTTGGGTCCTTGTACTTCAAAGAACCTCCAGGAGCAGCAGCAGCAGCCACGGTATAGCACAGCAGGAGAAGACATAACACCTTACTCAGAGTCCCCATTTTCGTCTTCTTCTTCTTCTTTCTGTTACTGCAGATAATCAGATCTAAGAACTTAGTCAAAGGAACTGTTCCATTGCAGATGAAACAAAATATCGCCAGAAAACAACAGTCAGCTGGAGAAAGCAAGAGCAAGATTTCTGAAGAATAGTGAAACAGAGTTGGTTCTAAAACTGAAACATTTCGCAAATCCGAAAACTTTAGGTGAAGGAAAGAACAGGAAGGTGCATTACTGGAACGAGCTGGAAAAAAAATCAAATCTTTTTCGTTTTTAACTGGAAAAATCAGATCTTCACTGATGAAGAAACCCAGATGAGATGTTAAAATGGGGGAAACAAACAAAAAAACAGACTCAAGAATATATTCGGAGTTGATACCGTTTATAATTACGATTGGAGAAGAAGAAGAAACTTACAGTCTTGGAAATGGGGCAGTGAAAGACAGAGGAGGATGGGGTTAAAACGGATTTTTTTAATTCTTGGGAGTGTTGAGTGTTGAATGATCTCTCCTCTCTAGGAAGACGATAGAGAGGTACTCTAATGGCAGATAGAGAGAGAGAGAGAGAGAGAGTGAGATCTTGAGAAGTGTGCTCCTCTGCTTCTTCCTGCTTTAATAACACTCAAAAAGTTGCTCTCCTTTTTCCACGTAATTTCCCTTCTTTTTCTTTTCAAGATCTTAAGCAAATTTTCTTACTCAGCTTTTTTACCGCACTTAATTACTCTATCCGAATTATACGGAACCATGACGGGTGATTTCTGATTTGCGTATAACAAATCGTATTACTTGGCGTAAAAGCTGATTAACCCAATAAATAAACGAAGAAAGATCTATCCACTCATCAAGATAAGATAGTCACTCACAAGTCTTAAAATTCGGCACGACTAGTGAAGACATTTAAGTCAATGGTACATATCATCATATTCGTGTATATATAATGACAAGTGACAAACATACAATGCCAATTAATGCCGTGACTTAATATCAATGTTACCAAAGTCTTCTTAGTCAATGAAATACTTCTGACCCCAAAAAAAGGTTTTGGTTGTATGATAATACGTTTTGGTTATCTTAATAGTCTTACAATATCTGGCTCTATTTTAAGAGCCTTGATGTTGATGCTAATGCAAAGTGCAAACGGTATTAAACAAAAGATAAGAAGATGGTAGTATGGTACAGTGCTTAGTTAATTATATGGTACAGTACTTATACGTAACAGTGTCCTTGGTTAATGGTTACTAAAACAGATAAGACAAAGAATTAATATTTAAGTTAAGAAGAAACTTGAAAAAAGGAGAAATGTTTAGATGCTCTGGAGAGTGAGCAACGAATATTATCGATTTAGAATCAATCAATCATATGAGGGATCGTGTTAAGATGCTTTGGAGGCCCCAGGTTCCACCACGTTAGGCGTTAGCCGCGTTACACTCCAAACGGACACATTTCGCTTTCCAGATCTCTTATAACGGCTACAATTTCTCACTTTTTTTAGTCCTAGTCTCTTAAGATAATATAGAGCATAGTTTGGCCCACGCAAAAAAATGATAATGGAGCATAGTTTGACAAAACAAAAAGAGAGAAGATAATCGAGCATAAATGCATAATAAGTTGTTTTGAAAGTGTGTGTGTGTGGTTTCATATGATTCATTTTTTTTTTTAATTAACATGTTTGCATCAAACTGATATCAAGCAAGATAACTACTCTTAGTCTTAAAAAATATAGTGACGTTCATCTCATGAAGGAATCCACATGAAGATGAATTTAGAAGCCTGATGGTACGTAACCCAAACTAAAGAAAAACGAGATTGTTTCTTTCTTTTAAGGATGATATTAGAAAATCTGTCGTTTTCATTATTTTCAGTCAAGGCATGTGCATGATTTTATAAACCATTAATCTACTACATAGTCTACATATTTGCAGAGATTATTGAAGGATATAATACTTTTATTTTGCCGACAAAAAAGAAAATTTATAGAATTTCTTTTACGTTTGGTTTACTGGTTATTGAGCAGGAATCATTGGGTTTGGGTGTTTTTTTTTTTTTTTTTTTTTTTTTTTGTCAACAAACGGTTTGGGTGTTTAAAAGAGAGTTTTGTCTTCTAACGAACTATATAATAAAGTGCAGTACATGTGTCCAGCAGCATTAGCGCTAACTTGCATTTGCTTAAAGTCTATACCGACAAATTAATACTGTATGTAACATGAATTTCCTTTAGTGGACATAATATTTCATGATGGGCCTAACATATACACAATTCTCTCTAATAGGCTGTTAATTAAGGTTGATGTTCTACCTGATTACTAATTGGGATTAAGCTTGCTTTTTTCCTCTACAAAAGCATTTGGTGTGGGGGAGATCAACTATGTTCTGAATTCGAGTGGTGATTGTATATAAATGACTGGTTTAATTTGTCCTTGATGTCCGATTCTTAACTACTGCAAAAACAAACAAAAAAGTCAACCCTAATTTAAACAAAGAGTACCGGTCTGGAACAGTTCTTTCAAATAATTAAGCTAACCAGGTTTAGGTATTTTTGAAATTGGTTGACAAAAAGTTACTATCTTGAAACTATGTTTTAAAATTTTAAACTTCGAACGAAGAACTGAAGTCTTGAATCCAGAAAACTAAGGCGTGATAGCGTTAAACTATACGTTGAAAGAAGAGACTAATTGTTACAAGAAAATTCGACATAATGGTACAGACTTCCAAACTATAGTCTTCGATAGCTGTATGAAGGACACATTTTTTATTCTCGATTAGGACATCCGATAGAATTTTATAAACAAATATGTCCACCTGATCTTTTTCATCAATCTGTCTCCACTAACCACCACTATATAAATAGTTAAAAAATTAGCTACACTAATCTATTATTTTTCTTCCTCATTCAAAATTACCACATGTATTCAATCATTATGCACACTAATACACTACCATTTGATTATAAATATTTCCGGACAAATTATTTTGTGTATCATTTTGGTCCTTTCCTGGACCATACGAATTAAAGAAGTAAGGTCTAACTTTCTAACCATGAATTTTATCTCGGCTGCTCTGACTATTCCGTCCAGAGTCCCATCAAAACGCATTGTCAGATTTAACTACCTAGTTACTGTCTCTGTCTGTACTGCATAGTTTTGTACATAGGGTTATATGTCTTTTCGTGCTTAAGGTTATGTCTTTTTGAGGAGTTTCTGATGGTAACTTATACTAGTGATTAATTTGTCGAACAGGTAGAGAAATTGACTGAAAATAATCATTCATATAACACATATTTAGACATCCATAATTCAGGAATCAATAACGATCGTGGCCTCGCAGGCTTTGTTTTTCTCACATATTTAAACGCACTATACTTTGTTGAAAAATGGATTATATATTATTCAACGTTCATTTTGTTTATTTGAAAAAAGAAAACACAATTTTCCAAGAGATCTGGACAACCAGACAAGATTTTTGCGAACCAATATCGCCAGCTTTATATTTTTTTACATATTTAAATGCACCATACATTTTTCAACAAAGTTGAAAATATTGATATTCAATACTTCAAAATAAAATGAAAAATTCTTACCAAGTCAAGTCAGGTTCAATTTAAACTTAGAGTGTTGTTACTTCTTTTTTCTTTCTGTTTCTATACTTTTATCATTCATATCCACATGAATCACATCTAGTCTAGCTTGACAAAGAAAAGAGAGATTCACGTGTAGTAAAGTAGCTGTATACAATATGTAAACGATAAGAAAATACAAGTAAAAGTTTGATTTGTCTAAAGGTTCTTTTCAATCAAAAGACTAAAAAAACATATGATGGAGATGGAGTATATATTTAAGGTAATTGTTAGCATTATCTTTCACAAAGCATAAAAAGAAAAAACCTACCTAATGATCACAACACGTAACCATACGCCAACGCTACAAATATTCTATTAATTCACTAATTATTTTATGAAATAAAAAAATTAGATCTATTTATGACGACAAATCTTGTCGTGTGACTAAAGAGGAATAAGACTTTGTCAGTTACACATAGCACGAAACCAAAACCAAATCCATATCCAACATTAAACTGAGATATGAATCGGTGTCACTGTAACTAAATTTTGTGGTCTTACAAAAAGAAAAAAGCTAAATTTTAAGGTTAATCTGTTCTGAAAGCAGTCAGAAAATCAATGGGTGAGCAGAAAGTGATTGAAGAAATAGAAGAAGCGATGAAGAGCAAGACTTCTATGGTTTTCGCCATTAATGGTGAAAGATTCGAGCTCGAGCTCTCTTCCCTTGATCCTTCAACTACACTCATCGATTTCTTGCGCAACAAGACTCCTTTCAAGAGCGTCAAGCTCGGCTGTGGCGAAGGTACGATAATACAGTAAACCAAATTTTACTTTTAATTCTAATCTTCATGTTCTTGAGTCTTTTGTCTGAGAAAAAGAGTTAAATTCAATAGAAAAAATTCCCCCAAAAGATAGTAGAAATTGCAAGATTAACTGATTCCTTTTCAAAGACTGATTCGATTCCGACTCCGGATTTTAAGCACTGATCTGCGCATGCATTTCTTGAACAATCCACAAATAGTTATACAATTTTTAGAAGAAAAAAATATATTTTCAAAGTGTTTTTGCAAGAAGTGTAAATTGCAAACGCCAATTTATCTGTTTGACTTTTTCAATAAACAGGTTTTTGCTTTATAGCGTTTGGCTTTTGCTTTTTGTGTTCTAAGTAAATATATCTTCTCTGGACGCAGGTGGTTGTGGCGCTTGTGTTGTTCTTCTCTCAAAGTATGATCCATTGCTCGAGAAGGTCGATGATTTCACAGTCAGCTCTTGTCTCACGCTCCTATGCAGCATCGACGGCTGCTCCATCACTACCTCAGAAGGCCTCGGCAACAGCAGAGCCGGTTTCCACGCTGTCCACGAGCGTATCGCCGGTTTCCACGCCACGCAATGCGGTTTCTGCACTCCTGGAATGAGCGTTTCCATGTTCTCCGCTCTCTTGAACGCTGACAAGTCTCATCCTCCTCCTCACAACGGTTTCTCAAACCTCACGGCTGCTGAAGCAGAGAAGGCTGTGTCAGGGAATCTATGCCGGTGCACCGGTTACAGACCGCTCGTGGACGCTTGTAAGAGCTTCTCAGCTGACGTGGACATCGAAGACCTCGGATACAATTCCTTTTGCAAGAAGGGAGAACAAAACAGAGCCGAGGTTTTAAAAACTTTGCCTTGTTATGATCATGCAACATCTCAAGTCTGTAAGTTTCCTGAGTTCTTGAAGGAAGAGATCAAGAACGGTATGGTTCTTGATCCAAGAAAGTACAGATGGTCAAGCCCTGTGAGTGTCTCGGAGCTTCAGGGGTTATTATCAGAGGCTGAGAATGGAATGGCGGTTAAGTTAGTTGCGGGTAACACGAGCACAGGGTATTACAAAGAAGAGAAACAGAGGACGTACGAACGGTTTTTCGATGTAAGGCGGATTCCGGAGCTTGCTGTGGTGAGAAGAGATGAGAAAGGAGTTGAGTTAGGAGCTGCTGTGACTATATCGAAAGCTATTGAGGTTTTGAGAGGTGAAGAGAATGTTTCTATGTTGGAGAAACTGGCGGATCATATGGAGAAGATTGCGAACAGGTTCGTGAGGAACACGGGGACGGTGGGAGGAAACATCATGATGGCGCAGAGGAAACAGTTTCCTTCGGATCTCACAACCATACTTGTAGCTGCTAGAGCAACTGTGAAGATCATGAGTAGCGGCTCTGGTCAAGAAGAGTTTACCTTTCACGATTGAGTTAGAGCCGGGGACAGCACCAATATCGAAGACGCCTTACAGGATGGCGCCAGCTGAGTTGGCAGAGCTGAAGAAGCAGATAGAGGACCTTTTGTCTAAGGGGTTCATTCGACCGAGTGTTTCACCGTGGGGAGCACCGGTGTTGTTTGTGAAGAAGAAGGATGGCAGTTTCAGACTTTGTATCGATTACAGAGGTCTTAACCGAGTCACTGTGAAGAACAGGTACCCACTCCCGAGGATTGATGAGTTGTTGGATCAGTTGAGGGGTGCTACTTGGTTCTCCAAGATTGACTTGGCATCGGGGTATCATCAGATCCCGATAGATGAGGCAGATGTCAGGAAGACTGCTTTCAGGACGCGTTATGGGCATTTTGAGTTTGTGGTTATGCCTTTCGGTTTGACTAACGCGCCGGCAGCCTTCATGAGATTGATGAACGACGTGTTCAGGGAGTATTTGGACGTGTTTGTCATCATTTTCATTGATGATATTCTGGTATACTCGAGGAGTCAGGAGGAGCATGCGACTCACTTGAGGTTGGTTCTGGAGAAGCTTCGGGAGCAGAAGCTTTTTGCTAAGTTGAGCAAGTGCAGTTTCTGGCAGCGAGAGATGGGATTTCTTGGCCACATTGTTTCTGCAGAGGGAGTTTCTGTGGATCCGGCTAAGATTGAGGCTATCAGAGATTGGCCTAGACCTAGTAGTGCCACCGAGATCAGGAGTTTTCTGGGTTTGGCAGGATACTACAGGAGGTTCGTCAAGGGGTTTGCTACCATGGCGCAGCCGATGACGAAGTTGACCGGGAAGGATGTCCCTTTTTTGGTCAGCTGAGTGTGAGGAGAGCTTTAGTCAGCTCAAGGAGATGTTGACTACTACACCAGTGTTGGCGTTACCCGAGCCAGGGAAGCCTTACATGGTGTATACAGATGCTTCAGGCATTGGTCTTGGTTGTGTGCTGATGCAGGAGGGCAGAGTGATAGCATATGCTTCGAGACAGTGGCAGGGCAGTGAGCGTAACCGTCCTACACATGACTTAGAGTTGGGAGCAGTGATCTTCGCGTTGAAGATTTGGAGGTCTTACTTGCTAGGTGAGACAGTACAGGTCTTCACGATCACAAGAGTTTGCAGCATATCTTCACTCAGCCGATGATGAACGCGAGACAGACGCGCTGGGTTGAGTTCTTGGCGGACTATCAGGTGAGCATTAACTACCATCCGGGCAAGGCTAACCTAGTGGCGGACGCGTTGAGTAGACGGAGGTATGATTCCGCAGTTGAGCGAGATGTGGAGTCTCTAGTTGGCGAGATCAGTACCTTGCGTTTGTGTGCCATTTCGCAGGAGCCTTTGGGTTTAGAGGCAGTGGATCAGGCGGATCTACTTAGCAGGATCAGAGTTGCTCAGCAGAGTGATCAGAGTTTGCTGGATGCGACGAGAGTGACTGGTTCTGAGTATGAGGTCTCTGCGAATGGGACTATCTTGGTTCGTGGGCGAGTTTGTGTGCCTAAGGATGTGGAGTTGAGACATCAGATTTTGGGAGAGGCTCACGCGAGCAAGTTTTCCATTCATCCGGGAGCGACCAAGATGTACCATGACCTCAAGAGGTACTATCATTGGGTCGGGATGAAGAGGGATGTAGCAGACTGGGTTGCGAAGTGCAACACTTGTGCCTTGGTGAAGGCAGAGCATCAGGTTCCGGGTGGTCTTTTGCAGAGTTTACCCATTCCAGAGTGGAAGTGGGACAGGATTACGATGGATTTCGTGGTTGGACTACCTGTTTCGAGGACTTTCGATGCTATCTGGGTGATTGTGGATCGGTTGACTAAGTCCGCACATTTCTTGGCCATCAAGAAGACAGATGGAGCTGCTGTTTTGGCTAGGAAGTTTGTGCGAGAGATTGTGAGGCTGCATGGAGTGCCAGCTAGTATTGTGTCAGACCGTGATCCCAGATTCACTTCAGAGTTTTGGAGGGCGTTTCAGGCAGAGATGGGCACTAAGGTGCATTTGAGTACAGCTTATCATCCGCAGACAGATGGTCAGTCAGAGAGGACTATTCAGACTTTGGAGGATTTGCTGAGGATGTGTGTGTTGGATTGGGGTGGCCATTGGGCAGATCACCTGAGCTTAGTTGAGTTTGCATACAACAACAGCTTTCAGGCGAGTATTGGCATGGCTCCATTTGAGGCTTTGTATGGGAGGCCATGTAGGACACCCCTATGCTGGACCCAAGTGGGGGAGCGCAGCATGTATGGAGCTACTTATGTTCAGGAGACGACAGAGAAGGTTCGTGTTGTGAGGCTGAACATGAAGGAGGCTCAGGATAGGCAGAAGAGTTATGCAGATAGACGCAGACGAGAGCTTGAGTTTCAGGTTGGAGATAGAGTTTATCTCAAGATGGCTATGTTGAGGGGTCCTAACAGATCCATAGCAGAGAACAAGCTGAGTCCGCGTTTATGGGTCCGTTTCCAGTAGTGGAGCGAGTTGGGCCATTGGCTTACAGGCTGGAGTTGCCTGAGATTATGAAAGCCTTTCACAAGGTTTTTCATGTGTCGATGCTGAGGAAGTGTCTTCACCCTACAGAGGAGTTAGTGGCTAGGATTCCAGAGGATCTTCAGCCAGATTTGACAGTGCCGGCAGTGCCTGTGAGGATTTTAGAGAGGAGGGAAAAGGTTCTGAGGAACAAGAGGATTCCCTTACTGAGGATTTTGTGGGATTGCAGTGGTTCTACAGAGGAGACTTGGGAGCCAGAGGCAAAGATGAAGTTGAAGTTCAGGAAGTGGTTCGACAAGCAGGTCGAGGAGTGAGCTTATTTCATCTTTGTAGCCTCAGTTGTTATTTTTGGCTTTGGTGTTATTGTATTTTCGTTTTCGTTGTAACGATATACATTTTGGAGTTTTAATGAGATGCAGTTTTTCCTCATTTTGCCTTGTGTTGTGGTATTCGGATGTTACACATGTTTGACCAGTTTTTGGTTGTGAGACGGTCTAATCTTATGGTTATAGACATTTTCCGGAATTTTTACTCTAAGGATTGCGATCCTGAATAACTCATCATGTTTTTGGAGACTTCGTTCTCTGGCAGACTCTCTGGGTGCAAGTAGGCCTCAGTTGAGTGTACTTATCTGGGTGCAAGTAGGCCTCAGTATAAGCGTTTAGTTCATTTGGGTGCAAGTGGGCCTCAGTATGGACGCGGTTCGTCTGGGTGCAAGTGGGCCTCAGTGCGGACCGGTGTGGACTTGTCTGGGTGCAAGTGGGCCTCAGTACAAGTTGTTTGGTGTGATGATGAGTTAGGAGTGAAATTTTCTTGGAACGTGTTTATGACATAAGATATGACGTTTGTCTCGGGGATCAAGTGAGGATCTCCGGTGTTGCGGCCTTGCGAGGTTGGGTTTTGTGGTCTTTGTGACGTTTGTTGGGATTCGAGGACGAATCCAGTTTAGTGGGGAAGAGTTGTAACATCCATAAACCAAAAATAAAAATTGGGAATTTTGTCGGTTCAATTTAAGTGAATTGGTTTGGGTCGGTTTAGTGGAGAAAGCCCTAAAATCAAGTTTAAAGAGTGCAGCCGTCTTCTCTTTGGAGAATTTTCGAGTTCAGATGCTGTAGAGGAGAAAAGTTGAGTTTTTGGAGAGATTTTCGAATTTTACTGTTCATCGGCACTGTTCATCGGGTACTGTTCATCGGTACTGTTCATCGGTACTGTTCATCGGTACTGTTCATCGTTGGTACTGTTCATCCGCGATTCGGCACTGTTCATCGTCCTTCCTTTTTCCTTCAGTTTCAGTCATTGTCAAGGTGAGTGCATGACTGTGGGTCCGTGATTTGCTAGATTAGATTTGGTTTGTGGTTGTTCTTGATGAGTTTATGTTTTTAATTGTTATTTTTATGATATTTTGGTTGTTCATGTGATGAATTGTGTGTTTGTGTGGTTTAATCTGGTTTAATTGAATTTAATTGATTTGATTCTGGTTTATCTTGGTTCAATTGAATTTAATTGGTTTAATTGAATTTAATTGGTTTAATGGAATTAAATAGATTTAATTCGGATTTAATTAATTAAATAATATTATTTAAAATATTATTTTAATTATTTTAAAATATGGAAAATTATTATTTAATTATGAGAATTATTTAATAATTGAGAAATTGAGTTTTAATTATTAAAAGTTATTTAATAATTGGAAAATGGTATTTAATAATTATTGAAGTTTATAAATATTATTAAATATCTAGTAAATTGCGTAAATGGCTCGTAGGCAGAGTGATTGCCTCACTAAGTATTTATTAAATACTTACGCAACTCCATTCCAATGTGTTGCAGGTAAAAGATTTGTGTGATCGCGGAATCAAGGCTGAAGAGGGGGATGATAGGATGTTTACTGTTTTATTGTTTTGCATTATTTTGCTAGACTTGTTTAATTATTATTTGCTTCCGCTGAGCTGATTTATTTGTTATTGATATTTTATTTATTTAATTTATTTTTAAGACCTTCGCTAGAACTGATTAATATTTATTAAAAAAAAAAAATGTTGGTTGTTTCATTATTAAACATTTGATCGAATTTTAAAGAATGATTTTAAAATTAGAGAAAGAAAATCAAAAAAATTTGCTTTGATGAGTTTGTGAATAGAAAAATGAGAATACAGTTTTTATAGAGGGTTCATGTAACCAATTTCATACGGTTTTATGAGTTTGTGGATGAGAAAAAGAGAATACAATAGCTCTCTTTTTTATAGGGGGTTCATATAACCAATTTCATACAGTTTTATGATATTTAGTTTACATACCTATTCCATGTACTAATAAGAATTTTTAAAATAGGGTTTATGTAACCTATTTCATACAGTCTTAGGATATTTAGTATTCCATGTACTAATAGGTATACTTTATTACATTATTTTCAATTTATAATATAAATTTTCGTTTTTATTAGAAAATATTAAAATTTTCTCTTTAAAAAAAAAAAAAATGACACATGTCGCAATCCTATATTTTATAAAAATCCTACGTGTCGCAACCATATTGTGCGCATCCAACTTTATATAATAAGAAAGATATAGATAAACAAATATCTAATCCTATACTATAAAAGTTGTGCATCTCTCCAGCTGATCGCCACGTCAGCACGAGAGATGGACACGTGTCACTTTCTGCGTTTTCTGAACTTTTTTTTTTTCCTTCATTCTCTTTCAAAACGACACTGTTGCGTACACCGACCAAAAACATAGCGTTCCGTCTCTTCCTCTTCTTCTTCCTCCTCTCTTTCCCTTTCCTTCCGTCCGCGAAATCTGCGTTCATCTCCGAAACTCAAATTCTCTTCCTCATCGATCTCCGGTTTCGTCACGGATTTTTAATTCCCTCTTCAATTACTCACATGGAGAGGAGTGACTTTCGTATCTTTTCCGAATTGGGACCAAACTGTTTAGCAGATCCCGTCTCTGTTTGTCGGCGCAACTATGGTCTCCGCGTAGCTTTGCAAATCGCTTACCCAACCACTCTATATAGTACCGTTATTGAATCCACTGGTAAGCCGTCAAACTCCAACCTTCTTCCACCTTATTGTTTCTGCTCTCTAATTAGAGAGGCATGGCATCTCTGGTAATTTAAATGAAATTAAATCTCCCCTTGTGGTCATTTCGCTACATTACGAATCTCATATATTGTTCTTTGTTACCTCTACACCAGAGTGTTGCCTCCGTTTGTCCCATTTGCTCAGGCGTTTGCAGCTGTAATCACAGCGACTCTCACAGGCTTCTCAAGATGACCTCTCTCTATAAAATTCTCAGATGCCTTTGTAAGGACATCACGATTCTCCTTGAAGCTATGATCTTCCTTCCCCCTCAAGAGTCAGACTAATCCCATAAGGTTTAGTTCCCGCTTCTTTTTTTTTGTATTCCCGCTTCTTTTTTTTTGTATTCATTCGGTTTTGATTTATAATTGGGTTTTCATATTCATTTGCTTATCAGTCTCTTTACACTCAAAAAGTTTGTATTTTTATTATCATCAGATGATTCTCAGTTTCTAGAAGATGATGATAAGACCGAGAATTTTCCTCGAGAGGTGGCTGATCATTACAGTAGAAGAACAAATCAAACTCTACAAAAGCGAGAAGCAAGCCTCGTCAGTCAGCTAAAAACTTAATAACTGGGTTAGTTAGTTAGTTAATGACTGATCCTAATCTCTCTAATGGAAAGCTAGAGTAATTGCTTGTGTTTATTGCAGGTCATGAGCTGGTCTTGGAAGATGATGTTTCTGTCTGTGTTATTCAAAACTTAAGGAAGATTACGTTTGTATATAAGGATCCGACAAAATTTTGCCTTTGGTGTGTGTTCCATCTGACTTCAGACTGTGGCTACAAACGGCTGCAGAGCTTGGCTAAGGTTCAACGTGACTACCAGTTCAATCGAGGTATTTTCCCAGTTTTTGTATGCAAAGAGTGCACAATTGGATATGATCTTCTGTTTCCATGGAATTTGTCTATCATTGTCTGACAAAGTAAACCATTTGCTCTATATTTTGTTTTTATTCGCCCATATCAACCTTTGGTTTCATTTTATTTGATAATAGTGGACATAATTAATTCTGGTTTGTGGCTACCATTTCTTTTGCCATGTAGTTCTTTTATCGTAAAGATCAAGGATGGGTATTTAGCTCCTAAACTAATTGGTTCACGCTTTATATAATTATGATCTTCTTTAAACTGATATATCTTGCTTATCATCGATTGTAAACGATGGGCAGCCGTGTCAATACCGTCTGTAATCTCTCTTTCTCTTCTCATGCTGATCTTTTTGCAACTTTTATCACTTTGTTTTAGAGCCCTGATTTCTTTTTAGTTGTCTGTCATTTCCGTTGTCGGATGGCGAGGATACAAGTGTTAAAACTTCTAATATGCAGCTGTGTCGTACTGTGTAGAAATGTCGATCGCGGAGACTCCACGGCGACTCTTAACGACGTTGTAGGCTCTAGAATTCTCGGGATCTTGCGTCAGCTGGGTGATCTCTCTGCGTAAGTATTACTATCACCACCCCTGTTTTTAAAACTTAAACGAATTTTGGTTGTCTATTGTTGAGGGATAGCTAATGGGGAAGTTAGAGAAGAGACTCATCACTTTGCATGAAAGTAAGTAGCGTTATACTGGTTTTAAGGCTTTCTATTGCTGTTTAAGCAAAAAAATAGGAAATCACTGTTTCAGATAATTACAGATTGCATTATTCTTTTGGAGATTTGAAATTCCAAGGTTCCTTTGCTTTCTGTAGTGAATGAAATTCTGTAGTGAAGAGTTGAGTCCTCCTAATGTTGCTGAGTGTTGTGACATTACGGATATGTTATTTACGAAGCAAGCTGTGGTGAAGATGGAAGCATATATACATATTGGGAAGGCCTGCAATAAATTCGTTTATAAGGTTTGCTTTTTGTGATGATACAGTGTGTTTTGGTGATAATACGTAATTGGTTTGTATGATTCATTGTCCTCCTTTTTAGTCTGTGCTGCCTTTTTTTAATGTGCCGACGGTTCACAAGACTTGCTCAAGAATATTTCAAAGTAACCTCAAACTGATCTTTTGAAATCTAAAGAGTGTCAAGTGCTAAAAGATTATGTTTCTGTGTCTACGATTCAGGTGCCCCACTTGCAGCTACAGACTTTGTGTTGCATATTTTTCGGAGTTGAGTATATTAGATTACAAAGCTTTGAAGTTTGTGCCATTTATGTTAGCTGCTTCTGCTGTGTTTCTCGCTCGATTCATCATCTGTCCCAAACAACATCCTTGGGTATGCCTTTTCTGTCAGTCTCTTATACCTAACATGTTCAGTAAGTATTTTGAATAAGAAACTAATGATCTATCTTCGTAATGATGCAAACAGAATCACATGTTAGACGAGCACACAAAATACAAAGCAGCTGATCTACAACTGTGTCTTGGAATCATACATGACTTATATTTGAGCAAAGAGGAGGTTCTCTTCAGAATATCAGAGAGAAATACAAGCACCATAAGGTAATTAACATTGTAATGCTATACACTTATCAATAATATCATTTGAACACACATTCATTCTACTTATTTTATAGCTCCTTTCGGTACAGTTCCAGTCTGTTGCGGGCAACTACTGGTTACCTTTTGCGAGGGTGTTATCATTTTATCCGAAGCTTTGCACTTGAAGCAAAAGGCTAAAGTGGATGAAGCAGCGGTGATTTAGAGTATACAGTTAAGCAAAACGTCAAAGACATTTCAACTTAATGAGATGCTGGAATCGTTGAGAAAGAATATGCCTTGAGCTTTAATTGAAAGCGGAGCAGATCGAAGATTGACCTTGGACAGACATCAAGATATTTGGAAGAGGATGCAACAATTTTTGTTCTGTTATCCTCAAATGTTTGAACATAAGAGGCAAATAGGTGTTTTTAAGTTTTTTTTTTCCTGACTATATACAGAAAGTAATAAAGCACAGCTTCTCTGAAGTCTAAAACTAATTTAAGACATTGACATTACTTAATAACTCCCTCTCTTTTTTGGAATTTGACTCTCTTTTCCCTCTTTAAGAGGGATTTGGTATTCTGGTATAACAGAGTGAGGTAGACGGTGGAGAAAATAAGATATGTAATCAAAGGCACGCCTAATCGTAGCGACAAAATTGGTTACGAGACTATTACTTCAGACATTCTGTTGTAACGCACCAATTAGCCATACACTATTCCGAGCATCTGTAAATCAGCGTATCCAGTGGATTGTAATCACAAATCGGGTTAAACAATTGGGGTCATAATGATGGGGCAGAAGGAATCACGCGATGGTGCTCAGTGCTCACTGTTGGCGTTCAGATGAGGCTGGGTGACTCAAAAGCTGCGGGTTTTTGACCAAACTAAATGCAGCAAATACGGTTGTCCTAAAGCTATGGCTGATGTCGGGATTGCCGAATTGGGAGGGTTAAAAAAAATACAGTAGAGGGAAAATGATTGCGAAAACGGCGTCGTGGCGAGTACCGGAAACGAAACACAAATTAAAAGGAAACCTCGCCTGGATACGCGTTCCGTACGTATACAGAGGTAAGTTTATAAACAATGTGACAGTAGCTAATATA